CATTGAAAATAATGCAAGATGGGCCCCCCTCGGGCCCGGCCGCGGGACAGTGGGCCCGTGGGGGAAATCAGGACACCCCTGCACAGCTCCATCTGCACTGGTGCACCCCGAAATCCGTCCAGGGGTGCCCCCTCAACCATGTGGCTGCAACCCGCAGCCTCCACTGCAGGACCCCGGTGCCCAGGCGGGCGCTGCCTCCTCCCACCAGCAGGCGGGACTGTTAGCTGTGGTCACGGTCTCCCCGGCACCTCCAAGTGGCTGCCCAGGGCAGGCCCTCCACGATAACCTCCAGGGGGTTATTGGAATAGCTTTTTAATAGAGCAGAGTCCCCCCCAGGCCCCCAGCCCGGCCGTCACCAGTCTGTGGTCAGGCGATACTCGGCACACTCAAGTTCAAAGGTCAACCACAAGTAAATCTGTCTTTGTGCCAGAGGTGCCCCTGCATGATTTTGTGTCCTCTGCTCTCCCCTGGCCAGACCCTGGGCTGCTCCCTCCCCGAATCTCGGCTCAGCAGCTCCCTGCTCCCTGCTCTCGGCTTTCCATACCCGGAGACAGTTCTGTTCGCTGGGAGGGTGGGGCCTGTCCTCCCTACCCTGTCGTCGCCATTAGAAATGTCCCTCAGTGAGGCGGGCTGACCAGGGGGCCCCCCAGCAGACCTCCTCTGTCCAGGCCTCCGGAACCTGTGAGTGGGGCTTCACCTGGAAAAGGGGTCTTTGTCGATGCAGCTACGTGAGGGAGCTTGAGCCCGTCCTGGACCCCTAGGGAGGGCCCCTGACAGGTGTTCTTACGGGAGGCAGAAGGTACGAGAGGCCGGGAAGACGGTGCGGAGCTGGAGAGCCCCGTCCACCTGCACACAGGACAGAGTTAGCACGCTGTGAGGACTAGAACCCAAACCCACGGTGCTTCAGAACACACGATGCAAAACAAGAAGGAGGGCTTAGGCCCAGCAGCGGGGAGGGCAGCAGCAGGAGCTCCTCCGTGGGAGCACGTGGGGCCAAGGGATGACAGACGAGCCCTGGGACATCCGTGTGGGAAGCGCAGACTGTAGACAGGCAGCCAGTGGGCCTTCTCGGAGCCACGGAACGTCCCAGACGCCTGCTTACAGCTCTCAAACGGACGTTTGCTTTTTAGGCATAAATGGAATCGGCAAGTGAAATCTTTTTTTTTTTAAATTTCACTTGTTTGACAGACAGAGATCACAAGTAGGCAGAGAGGCAGGCAGAGAGAGGAGGAAGCAGGCTCCCTGCTGAGCAGAGCGCCTGATGGGGGGCTGGATCCCAGGACCCTGGGATCATGACCTGAGCCGAAAGCAGAGGCTTTAACCCACTGAGCCACCCAGGCGCCCGGCCAGTGGAATCTTAACAAAACGGCAGCACCTTAATGAATCTGTGATGAGTTGGGTTTGTTTCCAGAAACTTTCAGATGCCCAAGGCTTGCCTGGCTGTGGTCATCGACAAGGCAATGTGAGATTTTTTTTTTTTTTTAATTTTATTTATTTGACAGAGAGAGAGATCACAAGCAGGCAGAGAGGCAGGCAGAGAGAGAGGAGGAAGCAGGCTCCCCGCTAAGCAGAGAGCCCGATGCGGGGTCCGATCCCAGGACCTTGAGACCATGACCTGAGCTGAAGGCAGAGGCTTTAACCCACTGAGCCGCCCAGGTGCCCCGGGAATGTGAGATTAAAGGCACAAGGAGGTGCGGCACCGTTCCAGGTCTCACACTTAACGCTGCGAACTAGGAAATGCAGAGAACGAGGCTTCCCCTGAATTCCATTAAGATCAGCCGGCCCGGTTCTAACAGGACGACACAGGAGAACCCGGCTGTGCCCTGACGGAACCGAGAACAGCTGGATTCACTCACAGAAGGGAGTCACGGCTCGCTCAGAGCAGCAGCCCGTCCGCTCTGCGGGGAGCAGGCAGAGCAGGACGGTGAGAACCAAGCCGCCTTCGCAGGGCGCACGGTGGGTAGTGTGCCCGCCTCCCCACCCCAATGGGGATCCGGTCTCCGGCATGGGGAGGGGGGACCATCAGAGTCGGCTAGCCCTAACCGCCCCCTCCCCTCTGCCCTGCAGCGCGCAGGTTCCCAGGGGCCACGAGAAGTGTAAGGACGCAGCCCTGGGTACCGTCTCTGGTCACATGAGGACAGCAGCGGGAGAGGAAAGCCCAGGCAGACGACGGCCCGGAGATGAGAAAACAGTGGTGAGCACGCACGCTTGCACACGCACACGCTCCCTGGCCTCGTTGGGGCCCTGGAGGGGGGCCAGGGAGATGTGAGTCTCTGTGCCTCCGGGACCCAGGGCACAAACACTGGGTCCCCCTCTGGGTGACACCCCGGGCCTGCACATGCACCCTTGGACTGTTCGGGTCTCCGAGCTGCTCTGCACACTAGACCCCCCGCACCACCGCGGGCCCCCAGGGGACGCGCACAGTGAGTCGGCGACGCCCGGTGGCTGGTTGTCAGTGTTCTTTATTGGCAGTGGAAACGCTTCAGTACTGTGTTGAAAGACAGCAATAAATAATACTGTGATAAAAATAGCTCCAAAGTAGACTGTACAGACTTTGTTACATAGTCAGAAGTTCACAAAAGATTAATAGAAAAACAGAGTGGTAACGGTGAATTGTACGCGTAAATGAAAAGCAGAAACCAAATGTAGAAAGACATGCCGTTTCCAGCGCTATCAGCGGCATAATAAATAACGCACCGTGGTCAGACACATTTCTTGCTGGCTTTTTAATATGCCGAGGAGAAAGGAAGAGTTACATTTGCTCCTTATACAATCCAAAAGGGCTATCTCATCAAAGTCTAAAAATGTACGACTAGGTCCATTCTTTAAACATGTTTACAAACAAATGTAAAAAGATGATTTACATAAGAACAGTAAGGCCTTGTTAGAGTTGCACAACATTATTTCCAGGACGGCGCCCCTCCTCCCCTGCGGGCACCCAGCTGGGGGGGGGGCAGTGCTTCCTGACTGGTCCTCTGAGAGTCCTCGCCAGCGAGCTCCACACCAGGAGGGCGCCCGGGCCCCCCCCCCCCAGGCCCTCAGGGTCCTCAGCCCGCTCCGAGCCCCCCTGGGGGGCGAGGCTCTAAAGAGTCCAGGGGTCCTAAGAGATTCCCATAGTGTTCCGATAATCTTTCCAGTCCAAATTTTCAGAAGCTGATATTTAACACCAGATAGTTTAAATCTGTTCAGGCTGTGGAATAAAGCATTTCTTGCTAGAAAAAGTAGAGTTAAGGTCAGTCATTAAAATACAACAGTTGCTTGAAATCGAGTCTGCTTCTTTCCAAAATGATTGTTGTGGAGCTGGGTTCCGTGTGATAGCACACGTTGTGTCATGATGACTTTACAAGCGTGGAAAAATCCTCTCTGTCAGGGTTTACTAATAACAAATGAAGCAATGGTAATTACAATAAATGCACAATTTACAAAAGCCCTAGATTTGTCCTTACGATTTATACATACAAGCAGTACAGTACATTCATCTGGAAGACTAAAATTAGATAAAAGAACATGAATTGATTTGAAAGGATATTTATAGCCTGGATATACATGAAAAAGTCAGTAACTATGTAAATGAAGTCATAAGTTTACATAAATATAAGAAACATTAAATTCTAAAATATTTTCTCTATGGTATTCATGAATTTTTCGCTAATTAAAAACTCTGTAATAAAATATCTCACGGTCCATATAACAAGTATTAACAGATTAAAGATTCCATTGAACTTTAAAATGTAGTCTTTGTTGGATTCAAAATGCTGCATAATCATCTGTAGAAGTAGTGCGGGTAAACTGGAAAACAGAAACAGACAAAAGAATCAGCCTTTTCATCATTATTATTATTAACGTGTAACGTGTTATTTGTTTCAAGGGAAGAATCAGCCTTAAGACAAGCCACGTGAGCAGCGGCTTCCGGGCCGGCAGGTCCCAGCGCGCCTCCCCTCCTGCCACTGGGGCTTCAGCCCCTCTGAGAAGTTAGAGAAAACATCGAGCTTTTTGCTTGTCAATGAGAATTCATTTTGGCCTACGTCTAAAAGTTACCAATTTTAAAAAAGGATGAAAAAACAGAATTTTGAAAAGGTTTTATTTTTAAGTAACTCTACACCCAATGTGGGGCTCGAACTCGAGCCTGAGACCCAGAGCCGCACGCCCCTCAGACTGAGCCAGCAGGAGCCCCAGCAACCATACCTCCTGGCTGAGGGAGCAAACCCAAGTAAGAGCAAACAAAGCCACCCCCAACCCAAGGGCCCCCAGAGCAGGGGCAGGAGTCCGGGCTCCTGGGCCTGCACCAGAAATTTCAATCCACAAACTCAGCCCCTCTTGGGGCAACACACTTGGCTTTTTGTTTCTTTGTGGTATTTTTTAGACCAGCCTCTTAGGGCGCCCGGGGGGCTCAGTCGGTGGGGCGTCTGACTCCTGGTTTGGGCTCAGATTGGGCCCTCGGGGTCGTGAGATCGAGCTCCGCATCAGGCGCCACACGCAGCGCTGAGGCCGGGAGAGGTTCGTGCACGCGGCCCTGCCCCCACCGCTCACACGCGTGTGCACACGTGCTCCCCGCGCTCTCTCAAACCGGTCTTTAAAGCAAACCCCAGTCTCTCAGTGGAGAGGCTCTCAGCGCCGCACGGTGGGGCTGCCTCACGAAGCTTCAAGCTTGGGGCCTGTTTCACTCAGGACCGTGTCTCCAGGGGCTGGAGGCGGCAGCCTGGGGGGTGACGGCAGGTGCAGGCAGCCACCCAGGCGCCAGAGACTTGCTGGGGACAGCCCGCCAAGGGCCGGGTTCCCTCTCCTGTGCTGTCCTGCCTCTCCCCGCCCTGCACCCCCAGGAAGACAGGAGCTGACACCGGAGCCAGCAAGGACAGAAATGACATACCCCGTCTCGCTCGCGGACCCAGGACACGGCGGCCTGCGTGTGCGGCACGCACGGTGGGCACAGGGGCTCGTGCGCACACTCCTGAGCAGGGCCTGAGCTCCTGGGGCCGCCTCTCCCGGCTACTCACCCGCAGGAGGCGTCAGCAGGAGTAAGTCCTGACCGTGGCGGAGTCCAGCCTCTGCGGTCCTGACACGCCGCCTGCTCCGACGGCCACGAGGGGAGGCGTGCAAACACAGCATGCTGTTAGTCTCAGAGCGGCGCGCACACACATGCACGCACACACACATTCACGGCCATAGCAGCGCCTATGGTGGGGCTCCCAGGGGACCTCCGAGCAGGACTGGAGGAGCCGGAGGAGGGGAACTGAGTCACCAAGTGGCCTTGTCCCCGCACCCCCTGAGCAGCCCAGGGGGCCCTGGGGCAGCAGGTGACAGGAGAGCAATTCTGCCACACTCCTCTGCATTAGTGACAATCATGAACACGGTGACTTCATCTCTCCTTAAAGCCTCCAGATTTATAGACTTTTCTGGACTGTTCTTTCAGCCCTAAGTACCCATCTGTCAAGGGAGAGTGGGAGGCGAACAGCCCGGCAGCAAGCTGAGCGTCCCCAGGCCGCTGCAGGGTCCCAGGGCCCGTCCCGAGGCCCGCTCTGGCCGTCTGGCCAAGAAGGACGGCCTTGCCCTCCCAGCAGCAGGTGCGGGACCGCGCTCAGGAAACCCAAGCCCAGCGCCCCTTCCTGCGGGAGCCGCGGGCGCGCCTCAGGTGCTCTGTGCTATCAAGAGCCCCTGCGTGGCTGGGCTGCGGGCCGCGGGCAGTCCCCAGCCCCAGCCCCGTCTCCCACAGGTGGCCCAGGAGCCCTGTTACTGACGTCTGCCCTGGGGCCGGGAAGCACATGCAAGGAGCTGGGGCGCCGGGCCCCCAGCACCCCACATTTCAGAAGCCAGGACGCCCACGGGACCCGAGTTACGCCTCCGTGGCTACGTGGGCAAGGGTCCCCTCCCAGGGCTGCGCTCCCTGCGCCTTTCTCCAGGCTCATGGTTCGTTCACCCGAGCTGCGATCCAAACGTCGCTAACGTTTCTAACAAGCCGGATGCGATTCGGGAAGCGAAGCTGCGAGGAAAGCAGAAGAGCAGCTGCCTGCCCCAGAGGCCGAAGGCTAAGTGACCACTACAACCTAGAGAAATCATCTACAGGCTTCTCGAAGAAAAATGCTATTTTTTTCAAAAGGCTGGGTTTTTCCCTCGTTAAGCATGCCGCTGAAGTCTGGTGAAGAGATGCGGTGTTTTAAATGAAAACACCGCCCGGCAAGCCTCCCTCACTCAAAGCTCAGCGAAGGCTTTCTGGAAAGTGCTTTCCTCGGGGCTGTACGTGGGCAGTGAGAGCAGAACTCGCAGCCCTCGGCACAGGCAGAGCGAGGGGTAGGGGAACCGGAATACCGCGCTGTGCGTCTACACCCGCGCCCTTCCCTGCATTGCCCAGCCCGTCCACCAAGCATCACACGGGCCGACGGGTCGGGGCACGCCAGACACTCGCCAACCGCTTCCCGTGAAGGACTCGCTGCCACAAGCCATCAGTGAGGAAGACGCCAGCAACAACCACTCTGCAGATGGGGACGCTGAGGCACAGGGCTCAAGGTATGTGCCTCACACGGGGCAGAGCCCGATTCTAGCCCAGGCCGGGGAGTCTGGGCCTCCCTCCTGTCACTTAGTGGGACAGGGTCAGAGCGGAGCCGTCCCTCCGCAGGCCACAGCCACGTCCTCACTAGCAGAGGGACCGTCCGGGGACCATCACCAGGTGACACGACGACCGTCCAGCCAGAGTACCGACAGGACCGGCCGTGCTCTGTGAGGACCTCCCGGGGTCCCCTGCTCCCTGTGCCGCCTCCTCTTACAACATGTCACGACCCTGGCAAGTGCGAGCAGGGACGGAGGCAGAGACTGCGCTGATGACAACGGACTAGTCACTCCTCCCCGCAGAGACAAGTCCCAGGGGTGAAGGACGCGGTGGGAAAGCTCCTGCCGCTCAGGGCAGAGCCCCCAGGCCGCACGGACAAGTCTCTGCACGCGAGGACGTTGGTCCCACGCTCTGAGGACACACGCGCCGCTCAGCTTCCTCAGTCGGGAGAACGTGCTACTGTTCGACCAGGTGTGATCGGAAAATGCGTCTGTGTATGAACTTTCTACACAGCCGTGAGGGTCAATTTTAGAGCACGTGTACGCTCTGCCTGTGCAGAAGCCTGCGAGTTCTGCTCTCGCGGCCCACATACAGCCCCGGGGAAAGCACCTTCCAGAAAGCCTTCCCTGAGCTTGCACGCAACCGCAGCCACACGTCCCCAAACTCCCAGCTCGGACCGCTGTTAGTGCCCCCGCCAGAAAGCGGCTCGTGCTGCCGGCTGCGGCCGGGGGAGCGTGGGGCGCCACGTACCGTCCAGCTGCATCTTCTTTGGCTGCACAGAGGGCGAGGACAGAGAAGTGACCCGGAAGTTTGCGGGGAGAGTCTCTGCTGACCCAGCAGCTAAGCCACGAACGTCCTTTGGTCTAAACTTTTTCCTCCAGGAAGGTGCCCTCCTAAAGCTTTTATCGTCATCCTGGTAAATTAAAAGGCAGAAAGCAGGACTGCTTTTAAAATAAAGGACTAAATACGCAGTAAAGTCACCATCCCTTTAAAATGTCCTTGTCACCGCATTTTTGTTCACGTGTATCTAACCCCATTCTTGATAACCATTGGACTTTGTGCCCAGACTGGGAACTTCAGGGAGCAAAAGGGAGCAGGGCCGCCCTCATGCTGGGACCCCAGGTGGGCACAAATCAGGACAGTCCTGGGCCTCCCGGGGGTGTGCCTATCTGCCACGTGTTGCTCCTTCTCCAGCAAAGATCACCTTCTAGCTCGGTAAGATACTACGTCTTTGTCTTCAAAACAGTCTTCAGGCTGGGACAGGCCAGCGGGTCAGGTGTTCTGTTCCCACCACACTCAAGCGCTCGCACAGCGATGAAGACAGTAACACGTCATGGTGTGGGAGCACACGAGTCATGGTCTCGTATGATGAAACATGAACGTGTCCTGTGTTTCCAAATAAACTTCTAAAACCTTCCACCAGAGCGCAAGGGGCCCTGGCTGGGGTAGGTATCCAGCTGTCCCAAAACACAGCTCAGACTCTCTTCCTAGACTGCAACCAATGCTTTCTGATGCAAAAAACATTTCTGAAGAGTATCAAAAGTTAAATAGCAAAAATTAAACACCTCCCCATCTTAGTGAAAATACTGCTTTCGTATTAGTTCATTTGTTAATAAATTAAGAGCAAAGCTTAGCTCGTAAAGTAAAACCATCTCCACATTTGGAAGAGTCAACAGACTACTCAGCACCTACAAATACGCAAATTTATGTTGGTTTCTTTATATTTACAGATTTTACTTTCAGGTTATCTCTGTACCTAATGTGGGGCACAAGCCCGCAACCCTGAGACCAAGAGGCCCGCACGCCACCGAGCTGAGCCAGAAGGGCCCCCCCCCCAAACATGAAATTTACATTTAATGCAAATTTAAAAATCATGAGGGTGAAAACTTACTTCATCAAACCTTCTGTCAGTCCCCATGACCAGAAGGTTGTTAAACTCTCTCTCCAAGACAGCGCGAGCCTGAAATCATAACAGAACAACGCCCCCAAACTCCCATCAGCCTCATCTGGAGGATGTCCGCGTACCACGGCTGCTTTTAAACGGAGAATTTAAAAAAGAAACCAACAATAACTCAAGGGCTGAAGGCCTGGAACCACCCAGTGTACTTTAAGTCAGCGGTTTTAACGGGGAGTCATTTACAGGCCCTGGGAGGTGGGCATCCGCGGGCTCCCGGGACACCGGGTAACAAGTGTGCCGTGCGGGCGGCTGCTGGAGGGGAGGTTGAGGGACTGGGCAAGTACAACATTGTGTAGACAAACAAAACCATTCCCGATTCTCCAATGAGCCCATGGGTCAAAAAGGAGGACACAGGGAAATGAGAAAGTTCTCGAGACCTCCGTCCGGTGGCGTACTTGAGTGAGAGTGTCCCTCTCCTCGGCCGCTCTACGAGTAGCCAGTGTGGACACGGGTCTCCCGGACACCATCTACTCCAGGACTCCTGCGTGCCCCAGGCCCGGGAAGGGGAGGCAGACTCGAGGAGCAGCTAGGGAGCACTGTGCGCTCTGAGCCAGCACGTGGCAGACAAGGCAGGGGGAGAGAGGAAGGGCTGGCCGGGGTGGGGGTGGGGGGGTGTTGGCTCGAAGGTGGAGTGCAGCGGTGGCTGGAGGGGAGGGTGTGGGCGCCGCCGCGTCACCTGCGTGTTCTGTGTGGGGATCTGCAGCAGGAGCGCCAGGGCGTTGGCATCAAAGGTCTCGTCCAAGGCCATCAGCGCGCCGTGGACGCCGCTCTCGATGAGGTTGTTGGCGTATTCTTTAAGGCCGATTGACAGGATCCAGCGAATCACTCGGTCGTTGCTCCAAACCAGCACATCTGCAGACAAGTGAAAACTAGGCTCCGGGCGCCGCAGGAAGCTCTTTTCCCGCGTCCGCCCCGCAACATGATCAAGACACCCCTGCAGGCCCCGAGCCTCCAGCGCCTGACACGAGATGTGAGCCAAACGGGCCCGGGGGCACGGCCGGGTGGGCGCAGGGAGGGCTTCTGCCGCACTCGCACGCTGCTGTCCTGGCCTGTGGCTTGTCTGGTGGAGACCGTCCTACTGAAACTCACTCTGACTCGACCTGGGGCAAGGAACTTACTACACACACTGAGTTTCTAGGGAATAGAAAGCGACGGGGGCCCAGGCTTCAGAAACCAAAAGGACACACCAAGAATCCGAACACCCACTAGGTAGACACGTGCTTGCCCTACAGACCCCGGATCTTCTGAAATACTGTCACCCCATCAGAGGCGGGGGCCGCTGGTACTGTGGCTGGGCAGCTTGTGAATTCGACACAAACCCCTCATAATCTCAAACACTTTTTAATTGTTGCATTTTAAGAACAGAAAACCTGGAGGATATTCTCCAGCATATTAGAAGCTGTGGGGGAAGATCTTCTATTTATGCAAAGTAATAAACTATCACTTTTGCTCTAGCAGAGATCTAAAAATAGCCACCCTGTAAAAAAATACACCCAGAAGATCACCAGTTCCTTTCAAAGACTGCTTCCGTCAACTGTGAAAAGATTTAAGATGGAAATACAAAACAAATGAAACAGATTTACATATCTCATCTCCCACCTCCTTTTCTAGATAAAAGGACAGATATACACACACAGGCACAGCGGGTAAAATATTTAGAGATCATAACTGTATTTATATGTTAAATGCATTGTATTGCATTGCGTGTGTTTCGAAGAGAGATTACAAATGTTAGCTAAAGGTTTTTCCTGTGATTCGCAGTAACTCAATCATGGCCAGACTAGCCTTCAAATGGGCCACCTCCCCAACCATATCATTGTCTTTAACTTCTGTCTTACTAAAGACACCGGACGAAAACCACACTTCCGGGGACTGCGGTAGTAAGGATCACGTAAATCAACTCCATGCTTAGAGCTGGTCAACACGGCTCACCTGCTATTACCATTCTTAGTGATTCCTTTATACTGAAGATTGGCGGAGCCTTTATTTGGGAGCTTAATCGTTACCACCTTATTTCCAAGCAAACTACTACACTGCTCACCGAGAGGTGCCCTGGGTGGGCAGCTCCCCAGCAGAGGAGAGCACCTGCCGCCTCCCAGCCGGGCACTCTTGTCCCCGTAACACCCCTTGGCCTATTTTCTACTTGAAATGCCTCTGCCCACGGCCCGGCCCCAAGAAGAGGCTCTCCATCCCGTCTTTAGGGCTGACTACCATGGAAACCCCACACTGCTCCCTCAGCCACGGGAGCAGAGCCACACTGTTCTTCTCTTCCGGGCCGATCAGGCCCTGGCTAGACAGCAGTGCTCGTCACGCTTCCACCAAGCAGCACGCAGCACGGGCCTGTTCGCCTCTGTTGCTATCTGGCCTCACGTAGCAGCATTTCTGGACTAAGGAGGACATGTGTCCTCACAATGGGAGAGGTCTGAGGTCACAGGAAAAATGCTCACCTTGAGACCCCGACCTTACAGACTGATGTGAGCACAAGGCAACAGGCACAGAGGAGGGTCTTAGAGGTGCCCAGTCACCCCTCCTTTCTCTGTAATGATGCCGGACTAGCCTTCTCCACTTAAAGCCTTTCCTTACTTTTTTTAATTGCTTATTTTATTTATTTTTAATCTCTTTTTAAAGTTTTGTTTTTGAGTAATCTCTACACCCACTGTGGGGCTTGAACACACAACCCCGAGATCAAGAGTCGCACACTCCGCTGACGGAGCCGGCTGGGTGCCCCTTGTAATTTTTTAACTTATTTTTCATTTTTTTTTTTCTTCCTGTTTTTGTTTTTAAATAGGCAGTCACCAGGCTGTTAGCACCGTGGGAAGCAGCAGTACCCCACATGCACAACACACGATATACTAGCCTTTTATTTCACTCTGGCTTTCTTCTCTTTTCTTCTCCAGTTCTTTCCGGTCATAATTTAATCTCCGCAGGCACATGATTCCACACTGAAAACTGTTTCTATTGGGGAAAAAAAAAAAAAGTGAGCCGTGGCCGCGGCGCAAGCTCCCGGAGCTAAGGGGCAGGACTCCCCGCGGGCCCACCTGTGGAGGCTGTCCACCATCTTCAGCTGCCCCCGCAGGTCCTTCTTGGTCAGGTGGTCCAGCATGCGCGCGTCCACCAGGCACTCCATGAAGTAGCTGCGGTACTGCGCCAGGCCCAGGCTGGGCAACCACTCGTTGCCGATCCACTCGTGGTTCATGTCCCCATAGGCCAGGGTCTGGTTGCAATAATTAAGCACATCAGTTCAGAAGAAAAGTCCCGGAAGAGGTCATAAGGGTCATTCAAATAATCTTTAAATTGGATTTTCAATCTGTTAAAGATTCTCAAAGGCTAAACTGATAACATTGTTTTTTATAATTTCAGAATAACTTGATCTCCTATTTACTCTTAAATTGCTAGTAACATTTTGTACAAAAGACATTATACCCTGAAAAGTCTATGACTTGTGCTAATGAATTTAACATATTTACCAAAGTACAATAAAATGGTGACAGTTGCATGCTGTCTCTCTGAGCTAGTCTTCATGTATAATGATACAACGACAAAGAACGATCACGGCTCATGAACAAGTTTGAAGGATCAATCCAAGTCTACTCAGTAAAAATCTCTCTGGCTGGCTTTCATTTTATTTTTAACACTTTGCTTTCTATATTTCTTTAAAAAAATAGGTTAATTTCAAAATCAACTTTAAAAAAATGAACTAAAACACAGATTGAAAGAAGAGAGGAACATGGTAAGGCTGAAGGAGAGACAGTCAGGAGACACCCCCTCACCTCGCCACCTAAATTGGTAACTGAGACCCTGAGCCAAACGACTGGCTCACGCGGACAGAGAAGCTTGGAAGCAGCAGTGTCACCTAACCCAACCAACATGAGAGGCCGTTCCAAACAGCAGCACACACGGAACATTCTCCAACACAGAACAATCGCCACGTGTTCGGAGAGACTGCAATCATACCAAGTATATTTCCTCTGACCTCAAGTGAATTACATTAGGAATCCATAATAAAAAGACATCTAGAAAAGTCCCAAATATTTGGAATTAGTAGACTTCCAAATAACCCATGTGTCAAAAGAAGAAATCACAAGGGAAACGGGAAAATATTTTGAACTAAATGAAAGTGAACGTGCAAGGAACACCTGGTTGGCCTTGGTCAGTGGAGTGTGTGACCTGATGTTGGGGTTGTGAGTTCAAGCCCCACACTGGGTATACATAAAATGAAGAAGGTAAAACCGGGATCTTCATAAACATCACTGAGAGTGATTGAGAAGAAAGATATAAATCACCAACATCAAGAATGAAAGAGGGGGCATCAGTATAGACCCTACAGACACTGAAATGGTAATATGGGAAAACTGTGGACAGCTATAAGAAACCTGGATAAAACAGGCAAATTTCATGAAAGACATATCTATGAGAGCCACTCAGTAAGAAACAGGTGACCTGTACCTGAACGTGAACTTGTAGCTATAGACCACACACACACACACACACACACACACACACACACACACACACTATGCCCATACACTCGATCTCTACTCTAAATGCCTTCACTAGTGAACTCTACCAAACATTTATGAAAAAAGTACCAATTCTACACAAACTATTATAAAAATGTGAAGAAGGAATATCTAACTCATTCTACAAGAGCGGCATTATCCTGACACTAAAATACACCAGACACATTTCAAGAAAACTACAGACCAATAAATATCCCTCACAGACACAGATGCAAATGTTTGTTAACAAAATGTTAGCAAAACAAATCAGTAATAAATTAAAAGAACAAGATACCATGACAAGTGGGGTTTATCCCAGGAACATAAGTTGGACCAATATTTGAAAAAATCAGAGAAATTCACTGTATCAAAGGACTAACATGAAGAACCACAGAAATGTGAGAAAGGTGTGTGATCAAATCATCACTCATTCACGGAAACCTCTGCAACCCAGGTTTGGACGACAACTGCCTCAACTTGACAAAGGCTTCTAAAAAAATACAGAGCGGTCAGTACACTCAGTGGTGAAAGAATGAATGCATCTTCCCTACATTCAGGAACAAAGTTAAGGATGTCTATTCCCACCACTTTCACTCAACACTGTACTGGAACTCTCAGCCACTGTGATAAGGCAAGAAAGAGAAATCAAAAGCATATGGGTTGGAAAATAAATAAAACTGTCTTATTTGTAGATGACTTGATGAGCAGTATTAGAAAAATACAGAGCAGGGGCGCCTGGGTGGCTCAGTGGGTTAAGCCTCTGCCTTCAGCTCGGGTCATGATCTCAGGGTCCTGGGATCGAGCCCCGCATTGGGCTCTCTGCTTAGCAGGGTGCTTGCTTCCTCCTCTCTCTCTGCCTGCCCCTCTGCCTACTTGTGATCTGTCAGATAAATAAATAAAATCTTAAAAAAAAAAAAAAGAAAGAAAAATACAGAGCAGCTATCTGAACTAAAGTGAGTTTAACCAAGTTGCAGAATACAAGGTCAATATATGAAAGTGAACTGTATTTCTAAATACTAGAAATGAGCTAGAAATGGAGATTTAAAAAAACTATAATGTGATCAAAACTCACAAAATCCTTTGGAATAAATGTAACAGGCTATGTGCAGGATTTGTGCCACGAAAAAGAACCTGATACATCGTAAGTATCCGCATACATCAGACGAAGGTACTGGGTGTTCTTCAGTCCTAGAAGACTGAGTGACTATCACAATTCTGTAGTGCCTACGGAATCCTTGGAAATGGTAACTCTCAACTACCGCGGTGTCCCGGCTTGAAAATACAGCCTCCAATCTATTATTTACACCAAACAAGCTAAAAGAAACTAGTCAAGTTACAACAGGAATGCTCAAATTCAGTAGAAAAAAACCTGTTTCACTACTGTCTCTAAATAACCATGAGTGAGAAAACCAGTAAACATTTTTGGAAAGTTGTCAGAGCGTCATGCTTTTTCAGCCTGAGTTTTAGAGTGTGAATACTCCTCACTGCTTTCTTGCCTCTGTTTACATATTCCTAATTGGACACAAAATGCAAAGAAATTTCTAAACAGACAATTCCATGGGAGCAGAGCCCTCCTTAACGTTGTTCACTCATTCCTCTAGCTCCACTTCTTCAGTGGTCCATGACATGAGCTCCCGGGGGAACCGGGCTCAAAGCCAGGGCGACCCACACCTCCCGGGCTGCCGTCACGTGTGCTGAAGAAGCAGGTGACAGGGATCTCTCTCGTGGTCAGGGACCACCTGGGCTCAAGAGACTGTCCCGGCACAGGCTCTGTGTTTTCCAGCCCTGACATGACCCAAATACGGTTCAGCTTTGTAACCTCTGTAAAACGTGAGGGACGATGGCCGCTGTCACCAGCAAGCAGCTCGGTTTCGCGCAGACAGCACATTGATGCTACTTGCTAAGTGAAGGCATCGAGGACGTGACCACACCTTGGGTGTTTTCCTGCCCTGGGCGCCAAGGGCATCTCAGACTGGCCCTGGGCTTTGGAGCTGGTGACTATGTAACGGCCTGCGGAGGGCGCACTGTACGACCTCTGCCCTTGGTGGCAGGTGGCAGGTGCGCCCAGGACGCCTCTTCGTCCTCCTCCCAGCTAGATGAGGGATGGAGCGGAAACCGTCCTTGTTTACGTGAAGACTGACGCTGGCTAATTCTGGCGTCACTGGCATGGCCCATCCTTGCTTATGTTTCCACTGCAAAGAGCAAACGTTCAGCTGGTTTAACTCACAAGTCACGCCCCAGTACAGAGAATCGCATACCGAGGTGCTGTCAAAGTCCTTCTAACGAAAAACACTGACGTTTAAGCAATTACGAAATGCACCCTTTTTAATTCACTCATGGCCACTGCTGGCCCTGTGAAGGGACGTCTGCGCGGGCTAAATGATTAATGGGGATACTCATCGGGGTAGCGGCACAGAGCGCCCGACTCAAACGGCAGGAGAGGGAGCGCACGGAGTACGATAGCCACTCTCCTCTTCTGCTTTTTAAAAAGGTAACATCGGCTTGATTTTAGGAGCACAGCTAGAGAAAAACAGGTGTTTCAACCACCAACTGGAAATGAGGAAAATTCAGATTTAGGATTAGTTTGATTTTTTTCAGATATACCAGCATCCTTTTGAGATCCTCGAACATGACACCATTAGTAAGAGCCCTGGGAAGAACCGCCCGGCCGCATCCTCGCAGCCTCCGATGTGGCGCCACGACGGAACAGCAAGTCGGGCGGCAACAGTGCTAGAATCCCAGGTGGGGAACCACTGCTTTTACTCAAGCTGTCTCAGATCAGGGCCGCCGGACAATCGCGACAGAGATTTACGTGAGCCGAAGAACCAGAAAGCTGAAAATCCGAATGCACGTTTTACAGGGAGAGGCTTGATTTCTGAGAATCCTACAAGTGAGACAGCCTCTTGACCAGCACAGCAGCAGGACAGCCCAGAGCAGCACCCTGAGACACAGACAGGCGGGGACGGTCCCCGTACCAAGTCTCATGCTGGGCACGCACCCCAGGGGCTGGCGAAGCCGCGGCACCCCATCCGCGAGCCGCGTGCTAAACGAAGTCATCTAGGTTACAGAGTGAACCACCACGGTGCCACACGGGAAAGGTTCAAATTTGTCCATGAGACGTACTCTTTAAACCTATGCTTCGCTCTGACTAACGCTTCTAAGTCATCAACAATATTCCGCACAAATTACGATGTTAAAAATGTCAAGAAGAGTCAATTACAAGCTTTCACACTCCAGCTCTTTTGCTGCGGTACATATAGTGAAGAGGATATTATAGAGAGTCTCCAACCTGAGCCCAGCTTCCCTCCTCATCCTCCTGGTGTTACGAGGTTAGGAATGCAAAAGAACAGAACTATTAGTATTGGTGAGCTTGGTGACGCAGGCGCATCGACGCTGTAGGAAAGGTGCGGGTGACGTGAGAGGAAAAGTTAAAAAAAAATCAAAGCATCATGCAAAACTCATGCAAAACCAACAATTCCGATTTCTCATGCAAAGAGCCAATTTCCCACGGCAAGCACCTCCATATAAGGAGAAAACTAGGGCCAGAACATGAAGACCGAGCGCCAAACTGAGGTCTCTCCTTAAAGGAGGCAGGAATTACATCTAAAGACAGCGAGTCTACTAATTTTAAGTTCCTGAAAAAAAATCTAAAATAGAATTCCATTTCACACATTTAACTAATACCTAGTGGAAATACTTAACGGAACAATTTAATGTGAAATGACAGTTTTGTTTCCCAAGGAAAAGCCAAGAACCGCGCCGTTCTTAGGTGGGGAGCACTGAGGGGAGGGCAAGCTCGGGGCTGTGACTGACCGTTTGTGGCGTGGCTGTGAGCGTTTCCATCTCTTCATGCGTTAACCAGACATTTCCCGTGGTCTAGGGTGACCCCAGTGACCAACCACATCCAGGGCAAGGGAGCAGTGACAAAGAGGAAAGGTGGCAGACACGTAAGCCTCGGGCAGGTAAGAGGAGCATGCAGAGGCCAAGGCCATTCCCCTCGCCTTCTCCTCTTAGGTGCCCGCGTGGAACACGACAGAGCGGAACAACACGCCCGCCCCGTCCGTGAAGACTGGCCACACTGGGCTGTAGCAACACTGAGTTGTCAGCGACCGAGCACAGCCTACCGTTCCCCGAGCTTCGTCTGCCATGCCTCCCGCCTGAGGCGCGTCAACTATGACAACGGTACATTCTGCACTTCTGAAAATTGTGCATCTCAACTAAGTCTCACTCGATACATCCACCGTCTCGCCCAAAGCACAACTGAGAGCCCAGTCTCCAGGTCTAGCTTTGGACTGTGGGACAACGGTCCCCAGCACGTGCTCCGCAGTGACTGGGCCACATGGACGGGACAACTCGTCTGGGGAACCTGGGAGACAGGGCCCAGGGCTGAATGCATCAAACGGCATGTCCCAGGACTTCAAGGAGCCAAAATACTGGCCCCCCTGAAGCGCCACAGCAGACCCGATGCCCGTCAAAGCGCCGTGCCGGCCGCCAGGCCCCTCCGGAGCGGGCCATAGCCCGTCTCACGGTGCGGTCCCTGCCCGAGGGGGCTCGTCATCCCTGTGCACTGCCTCCGTCCGTGAGCAGCGGCCTTCACTGGGCAATTCACAGACTCTGGGAAAACCTCCCTACACCTTCGTTTCTAGAAAGGGCACTCTAACTGGAAACAAGTGGCCACGGGGACCCGGTCAGATGCTGTGACAGAGCATCCCTGGCACAAAGCTCTCGGGGCCTCACGGAGGGGCACAGACTGACAGTTCATTCTGACTCGACCCCTAAGAGACAAGAGAAAACCTGCCAGCTGCAGCCCCTTCTGGTGCAAGGCGAGCGCCAGCCCCGAATTGGGCGCTTAGCTGCTGCGCGGGGAAGTCCGTCCGCGAGGCTCTTCTGTCTCCCGTCGGGTTTCCCCGCAGAGCCGACCAAGAGCCGAGCGGACGTGGAGAACCCGCACTTCACAGACGGGGGTGGCTGCTCTGTGCCCCAGCAGCCGTCCGGGTTTTCGTTAGAGGAGTGCTGCCCACGCCATGAGGAAGACCCTCCAGTAGGACGCTCGCGGGCTTCCCACGGGGAGCAGAAGCACGCGAGCAGACAAGGCTCGGCGTGCACCTGCACATTCACGGGTTGCCGTGAGCCCAGAGCCCCCGCGCCTACGGCTCCCTGAGCGGGCCGGTAAAAAAGGGGTCACAGGGCACATGGGGAATCGAAGATCTCTCCCCTTCACTTTTGGTCAATTTATATTGAATTAGAGATAGTTACTCTCCTACGCTTTTAAAAAAATTCCTATTTCTGTATGGGAAAGCACAGCAGCCAAGTGCGGTGAGAACGTTCCGTGAAGGACCCGTGAGCCACCCACCCGTCACCCGTTAGAAATTGCCGTGTTTGGGGAATGCTAAGCCTTTAAGTCGGAACACGGGGTCCGTCTGTCGGAGCTGGAGGCCACAGAAACAGCGGGGCTGCCCCGTCTACAGACACGTACCGTTCTCGAGGTGGGAGGGGCTGACGGACTGGTCAGGGACATGATCTCCTGGATGGCCAGCCGCAGCTTGAGCCGGTGCAGCGGGTTGCTGATGCCGATCTCCCGCTGGATCTCCGTGTCCGACAGCGCGGACATGATGGCGCCGCTCTTCACGTTGGCTCGGCAGGCGGCCACGTACCAGGCCGGCATCCCGACCCACAGCTGGAGGCGAGACGCGTTCGGGCCACAACGTCAGGCAGGGCGCACGGTCGCGCAGGGAAAGGGCTCCACCCCGGATAAAGGGAAGCCGTACCTCCAGCCAAACCACGACGGTCGGTCCATCCCACTGTGCGAAAGGCAAACCCTGTCTCCGGGCTTCCTCGAGCAATTCGTGCCTGCGAATGACAAGAGACCCGGCATGAGAGCCTCGGCGCACACGCACCAGCTGCGCTGACGCGTCCGCAAGTATCCCCCGGCCACCTCCTGCGGAACGAAGACTTCCCGCCAGCGCTAGCAATGCCAGCAGTCCTCGGGTCCAAGGGAGGACAGTCAAGGGAATACCTGAATAACGAGGAAAACTGGGTAGGAGAGGAAGCTAGAGCCGGGTCGGAGCCCAGGATCCCCTGGGAGGGCCCAAGGGCTCGGCAGGGACAGCATCACTGTCTCACGCGGGAACGGTCGCATGTGGCCCTAAGTCACTTCTTCCGGTCTAGCCTGCTGTTTAGGCTCACCGGGTGCTGTAGGTTAAGGCGCTGGGTAACCCTGGCGTTTCACCCTCAGGCTTCGCACCCAGAAAGCTGAAACCCCGAGCACGTGTACGGGCACACACAGCGCAGACTGTGAGACTCCGGGAGCGTCAGGAGCCACGCCCTGGTGTCCCTGCAGCACCAGTTCTACAGCCCCCAATCGTGCCCTGCCTTTCCTAGCATCTTTACTAAGGGCTGTCTACTGATAACCTAGTTATGTAAGAGGCAACACAGCAATCTTTACCAATCTTATCTTACTTTTTTTGTGTTGTGTACTTCCAAGGCTTTCTGAAAGACACAGATTCTTCCTAAAAATGAAAAGCCTTGCAGAGGAGGTAGGGCTGGCCTGGGGCAGTTTACCCCATGTGCCTGCTCAGCCGGAGGCATTTTCAGTCCCTAGCTCACTTTCAGAATTATTTTTCTTCAATAATTTCTGCATTCCACATCAGTGAATCATTTATTTCTAAAGATACAGACGGGTTCTTCGATATATTTAGTAGTATTAAACTTTCCCTGAGACTGTGAAATCCATGTAAAATTAAAGCTCAAAACGTTTCACATGAAATCTCAAGTACATGTTCAACCCGCAGTCAACCGCGCGTCTCCTTGGAGTAACAGGTACTATAATTCTGCAGGAATGATCACACCACACAACGCAACAGATCTTTTTTTTCTTTCTTTAAAGTAAGCTCCGTGCCCAGCGTGGGGCTCGCTCAAACTCACCACCCGATCAAGAGTCACATGCTCCACGGGCTGAGCCAGCCAGGGTCCCCAGAAGGCAACAAATCTTAATAGCATGGGGGGGTGTGGGGGGTGGGGAACGGCAAACTTTTCTCATTAGAATGAGCAAAGCTATTCATCAAAGAAGAAGAAACGCAGGCCCCCGGGGCTGGGGTTACCCTGCCACACAGAGTCTCTCTAAAGAGGTCGGGGTGGGCCAGTCAGCAATGTGCTCAGTTAAATGCTGATTTCCGTGTCCTAAGGACAAATCCTCACAGACTGCGGCTGTATTTTACATGAACTCTTACAGAAGCCGAGCAAGCCCTACAGGCAACACGGGCAGGTCCTTGGCCGACCGGCGGGCTTTCAGATGCCCGCACACTCATGAAACCCATGGGACAGTGACCGCACCAGGGTACTTGGCCACACTTTGTCTTTTAATACGAAACAGATACTCGGAGCACCCGGATAGGTCAGTTGGTGGAGCATGCGACTCCGGATCTCAGGGTGGTGACTTCAAGCCCCACACCGGACAAGGAGTCTCTTTCGGAAAAAATATCAGAAATAGATATTCGTTGTCAACAAGGACTATAGGGTTAAAAACGGTCTGTGAATCCCATGAGCTGGAGGATGGCACACATGACTCTGACTTTGCCAGCACCTTCGTCCTAACAGCGGCCATTTGTGCAGGGAAAGCCCTTTCCAGCACGGACGTGCTTCCAGCTCAGCCCCATGGTCTTGCTGAGACTGCGACGAGGCAGGGCAGATAGGACCCTGCAGCAAAGGGACGCAGAGGTCAGCAGGAAGGTGGGGCTCCTGCCGGGTGGCTGGGCCAGGCCTCCCCATCACAGCACAGCCCAGAAGACTAAACTCCAACAAGACCCAGGGGGGAACACTTGCATCCTGTCCTTCTTGCAGGGGTGACTGCTCCCCCACCACATGAAGCAGGCCTCCCGCCTGCACGAGGAGGACACGGAGCCCCCAGACGCTGCGCTGCCAGGAAGTGCACGCCAGGACGCCTGGGCCAGCTCCACCACCACCTGCCACACACCTCGGTGAGCAGGCGCACCCCTGCCCTGCCAGCCCTAGGAGCTGCGCTTCTCTCACGGGCCACCGAGAATGGCCTACCGCCCACTGTGCACACTGCCCATCTCCGTCCTTTGTGGCCGTGTGGACCCTACGGCCTTGCCCGTTTACCCAGACGGCCACTCTGCTAAGCAGCAGAACCAGCTGGTGTTCTCCTTTACTGCAACTACAAGGATAAGCACGATCGGTAAGATTCGACTGGAAGGAAACGAGGGACTCTTATACAGGTCAATTTCCCAGAACATGAAACTCTTCTGCCCTGAGTTCCGGAGCCTCAAACACAACACTGGAGGCGGTGGGACTCCGGAGTGACCGGTGCTTCTCTGCACTGGACTCTGCTAAAGACACCGGCTTACGAGCCAGTCTCCTGGAGCAGGGAGAAGGCTCGTCTGGCTTCTGCTGTCAGTTCCTTCCTAAGCTTTCCGACGCCTCCTTCCCCGCTGCCGCTGTGTCCTCCTCCGTGTATAGCCTGGGAGCCCAGCCAGGGGGGGAAGGGGAGCCTGCCCCCTCCGTGGAGGAAGACGGGAGGCGCCCCGTGCCCACCACTGATCCGTCAGGCCGCGTGGTGCAGGGGGACTTAGTTGTGACCGCACCTCCCCGAGGGACCAAACTCTAGACCCACACTGCTTTTCCAAACGCCTGCTCTCACAGTAAACTGAGGCGGAATGTAGCCCAACCCTACAACGACAGTTGCAAGAGGAAGACATTTAGAAATTTGCTCACTTCTACAGGGAGCAGGCGCAAGTATGAGAGAAGTCACGTAACCTTGGGCAGAGGACACACGTTTTTAGACATAAACACAACAGTAAAGTCACCTTCCCTACCAAGACGTGTGTGAGCCTTTGCTCAGCAGACACCGCATGACAACAGGCGTCGTGCCTCATCTTTCAGAGCCCGCGCCCTCGCCACTCTGGCATCTCGGATGCAGGCCCAGGGGGCCCTGCCCCCCCGCCACGGCTCCGCCAGCCCGCAGAGCACCACTCTCGAAAATCCGCGGTAACTTCTCCCTAAAAACGACTCCCAGCCTACAGCTGCCCGGAAGCCTTGCCAACGACAAAACAGTTAACACATATTTTACGTGTTATGTGCACTGTAGGTAGCATCCTCTGATAAACTAAGCTAAAGAAAAGGTTAAGAATCAATGAAGAAAATATATCCACAGGGGTGCCAGGGTGGCTCAGTCATTAGGCCTCTGTCTTTGACTCAGGTCATGATCCCAGGGTCCTGGGACTGAGCCCCCCATAGGGCTCCCTGCTTGGCAGGAAGCCTGCTTCTCCCTCTCCCACCTCCCCTGCTTGTGTTCCCTCTCACGCTCTCTGTCAAATAAATAGTATCTTCAAAAAAAAAAAGAAAAGAAAATACACGTACAGTGCTACACTGTATTTTTAAAAAAGTCTGTATATAAGTGGACCTGCACAATTCAAAACCGTGTTGTTCAAGCGTCTACTGTACATTCTAGAACTTGCCATGCGTGACAGCAGAGTACGGACAATGACCCACTTTTCGATACTCAGTTGCAGCTATGACAGGACAGAACCAAATCCATCAACCTCAACATCTCGACTCCAGAGAAGCCCGCGCACACACGCACACACGCACACACAGTGCGTGCCATGTACTTGGCCACGTACTTGAGCACACCTCCTGACAGCGACAAAATAATTGCAGGAAACAGAGGAACTGGCCAGCTCAGGCTCCTTCTGATCTATGTGAAATACACATTTCTGGGAGCAGTGGGGTGGGACAGCCAGAGGGCACTGCCACAAATCTTACTGTTTTCATTATAGAAAGTGTAAGGAAGTGAAATAAAACACATCAGCAAAATCTAAGGGACAGAATTTTCCTAGCATGTTCCAGGAGCACAAGGCCTTGTTTCAATATTAAATTTCACAGCGCCAAGTGGCAACGACCCAAGTTATTTTAAAACATTTTTATACAGTTCAAACGTAGCAACATTCAGATCAGACCACTGCTGAGTGGTTTCTACAGATTTCCATTCCCAGAGAACCAAGACTGAGCATTCCTATGGTACGATGAGCGGTAATGGAAACACAGCATTTCATCTGAAATACAAGCCGCAGGGTGTTAGTCAAGGTCGTCGTCACGATTTCTGAAAGGAAAACTAAATGAGGCGCACTTCACCAATGAGAAGCCGCCTGGCAGCCCCAGGACTGGAGGGGAGCCGGCTGTGCTGGGGGGGGGGGTCCCGCGGGCTCTGGTGGGACCGTGCGGCCGGCCGCAGGCTCCAGACCAGCGCTTGCTCTGAGGGTGCCCGAGGGCGGCCAGACGCCTCTCCTTCTGTCAGGCTCACCGCAGAGCCTGCCGAGTCCTGCCTCTCACCGTCGGTTCTGTCTTCCTCCCTGGGCTCCCGTCCTCTCCTCCCGGCTACACTCCACTCTCCCTCTGCCGTGAAGAGCGCCGACGCCGGTTTTCAGGCGCGACGTGCTCCCGCCCTGTGTGGTTCATCCACTCAGCTCCGGTCTGGGACATGGTGAGCCCGACACAACCTGCTCTGGATGGGAAAGTCCCAGAGCACCCTGCCCACGCCATGCCTCCACACCCCCTTCTGCGGCATCACGATGCCGCGGCTCCCTGGCAGGATACTGTCCCCGCTCTTATCACCTATTTCCAGAATCAAGACAATTTAGAACTGACATGCGACAACAGACTACAAAACCGAGAGTCTATTTAGGATAAAAATTCAGACTCTCCTGGGGAAGGAAGAGGGATAGCACAGTGAGGACCTCCCGACAGATGACGAGTACAAACAACGAATTCTGAGCGCCAGGGGCCAAAGCCGTTTGCACGGTCCTGTGTGTCTTGGTTGAGAGCGCCCCACGGAGAGTCACGCAGACGGCGCGCCCTGGGAGCACAGGAGGTGAGCGCTCCCCTCGCTCACACGGAGGACGATGACGCAGAGGCGCAGGACAGCTGCCCCAAGGCTCTCCCAGAGCCCCCGACCGACGTGAGCCAGAGCCGCGGTTCACAGTCAAGGGCTGCGAGGCCGAGCCCCGGGTGCACAGCACGACACGCCCTGGCCAGAGGGTTCCCGAGGTGGCCTGGGAGTCCACGCGGGTCCTTCCCCAACTTCGTCCGAGCTCTACCACCTCCAGGAAGGACTGTCTGAGAGAGGCCTTCAGGGCACCTTCTGGGACAGAAGACGCACAGCTGGCCGGTCCATCTAACAAACAGCCAGTGGTTAAAAAGCGGGCGCAGGTGCGAGCAGCTCAGTGAGACGGCGGACTGGAGGCACCTGGGTGGCTCAGTCGTCAAATGTCTGCCTTCAGCTCAGGTCATGATCCCAGGGTCTTAGGATCAAGCCCCGCATCGGGCTCCCTGCTGGGCGGGGTGGGGGTGGGGGCCTGGTTCTCCCTCTCCCACTCCCCCTACTTGTGTTCCGGCTCTCACTGTGTCTGTCAAGTAAATAAGATCTTTAAGAAAAGAGAGACAACAGACTAAAAACTACTTACTTTTTTTGAAGTTTACGATTTTTTTCAGCCTGTCCTCCCAGTTTGCTGAGTCCCAGGGCGTCCTGAGAGGAGTTTTCCATCTCCGAAGCAGCAGCTGTGGGGAAGCGGAGGGACTGAAACACCGAGGGGAACCGACGTGGCCACGTACGGGCATACGGGCGGCTCCGAGGGCACCTCCGACGGGCCGGCCGGCGCGCGGACGCCAGAGCAGTCGGGGCCCAAACCCACAAGCACATGCCACGAGCAACCGGCTCCCACGACAGGTACCACAAGGAGCACCCCGGCCACCCACCTGGTCCCGTGGGCTCCTTGCCGGCGTGGCCGGGACGGCCCTTCTCCTTCTTGCCAAACAGCCGGCCGATGGAGGACTTGATGCCCTTCTTCCTGGGGGCCTTGTGCAGCGAGTCCTGGCTGCTGCTGCTGCTGCTGGGGTTGCTCACGGGCCCGTCCTGCGAGCCCGTGGAGCTGGGGACAGGAAAGGGTCTGTGACAAGCGCTCAGCACAGCACACCATTGCATGCACACGACCTACAACACCCCGCATTTTCAACACTCCTTCAAGCGTCACGGCCAGCACCTGCGGCGCCGCGTTCACAAGTGTGAGAAGCACGAGCTCCCGCGAACGCTCCCCAGGAGGCTGACACTCGATTCCCCGGGAGGCGACGGCCCCAAGCCACGGACCAAGCCACGGGGGCTTGAGAAGGCGCTTCCTGCAGATGCCGGCCCCGCCACCCCTTGGGAGCCCCGAGTACCTCCCCGAGCAGGCCCTTCCCGGCGGTGACAAAGTGGGAGAGCGGGCTGGGGCGGGGGGCACTGCACAGAGGTGTGCACAACGCGCCGAGCACCACCTGGCATGGAACAGAAATGCACCCAGGCTCATCGGGGACGGGGAGCACGAGCAGCAGAGCAGCTACCAGAGTAGCCCAGGGGCGAGGACAGTGCGGGGCTCTCAATGGCCCAGAAGGGCCCAGAGCACCGCCGACAAAAGGACCCGTCAGGAGCGTGCCGTGTGCTGGCACAGGCCCCATCAGAAGCAGAAGGTTCTCCAGAGCCGGTGTGCGGACTCTGAAGAAATGAAGTTGTCCTCCAAGTGTAGCCCCTTTCTTTCTAAACAGACTTGGGCACAAACATCCACGTGTCCCCGGCCCGATTTCCACATGGCTCTCCAAGCTCCCACAGGGGTCCCAAGGACATCGTTTACGCAAACTCCATTCGATTCACTGATATTTCTTTAAAATCATCGTTCTGACCTTTTTTTCTCCCCCAGGAAAAGGTCAAAGATTTCTTAAAACTGCAAACTAACGCCCGAGAGTGCTTCCCGCAGGAAGAGCAGCGCCCACATGTGTCTTACTTTCTAACGTCCCTGATGTCCTCGTGGCTGGCCGTGTGCAGTGCTCCTTTGTGCAGCCTGTCTAAGCGGAGGGATCTCGGGGAGGAGGGGGGGGATGTTTCACATTTTATCGTTGCCTTGTCATCTCGTACCTCTTCCCGGGAAGCCGGCAACTGCGGGGGAGACGGGAGACCAGTGAGTGAGAGCCCGCCGCACAGCCATCGTGTAGGCTGCGCGCGAGGCCATAACCTTACGTGCAAACCTAGGGGCGCACGAAAGCCTCGTGTAGTCCGGGGCTGTGCTGTGGAGTGGTCCTGCTTAAGAGCAGCCCCAGGACACCCCCCCAACCTGCCTGTGAGTGCAGCGCGCGGCACGGGCTGGGCCCTCCTATCCCTGAGCACCCTGCAGCTCGCGGCCCTCCCTCCCTGGAACCCTGCGCTGCCACAAGGACGGTCACCGACAGGGATGGCAGAGACCGGAGCCACGCCCCAAACCGGGTCCGTATAAACCGTGGCCAGCCGGCGGGAGCTCTCCCTGACGGAGTGCTGAGGAGCAACACATTCATCCCAGTGCCAGTCAAACCAAGAACGCCGCCACGCAGCACTGCCTGGAGCTTCTCGTTGTGGGGGAAAAGGAAATAGCCTGTACCATAATCCATCATTTCTAGTAATGATGCAAACCGCGGAGTTCCTAAGGTCAAGTTCAAGGTGAACAGGCACCCACCCTCCCCCCAACATGGGCCTGGCGCCTGTCTTTCGGGGACTAGGTTGTAACCTGAACATATGCGCAGCTTAGAGACAGCCTGTTCCACCCAGTGGGGACGCTAGGCTGCTGTCACGACAAGATGAACCCCTTCAGACTCCCCATGTGTCCCTCTGAGCTGCATCTGTGCAGCCGGCCGCGGTGTGGCCAGCGCTCTAGCCCCACCCAGGGTCCTGGCAGGGCTCGCACAGATCTGGGCTTTGGGACTGGCTAAGGCACGGCTGGGTCTCATGAGACACGCGTGGCAAACCCCGTGTGAGACTGGGGCAGCAGGAGGTGCCTTGTAACAGGACCTCTGCAGCCGCAGGGGCTCAGGGACACCCACAGGCATCGGCGACGAGCAGAGCTGAGCTCAGGTAAGACACAACCATAATGAACAACTAGATAAGCCCTGCGCCCGCTCCTGAGTCCCCATCACAATCCTCAGACAACAAAAGGCTATCTTAACTGGTTAGATATTAACAACATAAAATTTAGCAGGGACAGATTACAATAACAAGGAAGGATTTCAAATTCAGGTTAAAGCAGTGATTTGTAAAAAAACAAAAATAAAAAACAAAACAACCACAACAACAAAAAAGAACAGGATCGGGAGAGAGACATTCGGGGCTGTGCTGACAATGTGGTCAGTGGAGACACAGTTCCGAGTGCAAGCCCACGCCGTGCCACGGTCGGAGTGTCACTAAATGGCCACACCTGTCCGCCCAGCAGAGAGGCTCCCCTGGCTGCCGCCCAGCTCCCAACACTGAGCCCCCAACCCTGCAGAAGCGTGGCCCTGGCAGTGCACGGCCCGGCGGGTTTGGGGTCGGGGCGCACACAGTCCAGGGAGCAAAGCACAACAGTTACAAGGAAGCCACTCTGGTCAAGGGATCTGTCCCCTGATGCGCTGTTCTTTCTCTGAGACTGGGAAGACACAACCTGCGGTCCCCAGTACATAGAAGCCCCAAGCCCCGTGCGGGCTGGGTGGCAGCCAACCCGCACGGCCCCGCGGCCCCAGCCCGGGGCTCCGCACCCGGGAAGTGGGGTCATGACACAACCTATGCCTCGCGGGGCTTTGTGCGACGGCAGCAGGCTCATGGAGCTCTCGGCGCAGCCTGGCACAAGGCGGGGGCTCGGAGCGCTGCAGCCACAGTCGTTGACGCCAGTGGCGCCCAGTCTAAAGCCCACGGCCCTGCTTCACTAATTTCCTTCTGAAAACTATCATGTCCGGGGCGCCTGGGGGCTCCGTCGGTGAAGCGTGTGCCTCTGCCCCAGGTCATAATCTCGGAGTCCCGGATCGAGTCCCACATGGGGCTCCTTGCTCAGCGGGGAGCCTGCCGCTCCCCCTGTGCGCGAGCTCACTCTCTCTCTGACGGATAAGTAAGTAAAATCTTCACAAATCAAACCATCATGTCTGGTGGAGCTAAGTACGCTGCGAGCAGGAGACACCCATGCAGCACAGCGAGCACCCCGGTCTGTGGCGGTGCCCTGTGAGAACCAGCTGGGCCCCCGAGGGCCACCCACAGCAGGCTGGAGCACCGTGGGCCCCGCGCTCCCTGGGACGCGCTCCTGGGCAGGGCGGGTCGCTGTTTCACGGGTCACAGACAAACAGAGGAACGTTCAACTACTAAAAATTTTACCTTTCTACGATGTTTCCTTAAATCACTAGGCTGACAGAGGCATGCAAAGAAATGAAGAGAAATCAGATTTACTGCACACGCTGAAGCTAAAAATTCAAGGACCAGAACAGGCAAACATATTAAAAAAATAACAGATCAGATATAAGCGAGATGAGACTTGTTTAGAAACAACGCAACTGGAAATTGAACTTCTTTTCACCATAAATTTAAACATAATAGGTTATTCAAGATTTACTAGAGAAACGCTATAAATTATTACTCAGGGAGAAGAATTGCATCGTAACACACACCCCTGATTAAAGTGTGGCACCTTGTGTAGCACAGGGACCGCACAGCCGTCTGTTCTAAACTCGTCTTGAGTCTGTTTTCCTTACTGAAAAGCGCGCTGCACTTTTACAGTGTGAACCCCACGACGCAGCTCCTGCCCACCTCCCCCAGCGCCCGGCGAACCCACTCTCCGGAAGCTCCTGCCGGACGTTCACGCAGAATCCTCACCAGCACTGATTTCAAGCTTCTGGAAAGTAAGAGCGTGGTTTAAAGCAGGGTACCCTGTGCTATGTGTGAGGATAAACACGGGCGTAACAGCAGGGCCCGCTGCCTTCTGTGATTCCGCATCCCATGTGGAAAACAGCCTACGAAGGCAGAACGTACACTCGCTCGGGAAGCTGACGAGACTTGTAGTCCCATGTGGGCACCGAAACCGGACCGCGTGCCGTTCGGGTCAGGCTTCCCATCACCCCTGCTTACTGCCTTAGTTCTTCATATAAGAAACACTTCGTTTACGAGTGTTCACGTTGACGAGGCAGCTCTGAGTAAAACACTCCAGATTCACCTGCATCGTGCCCTTTCCCACATCTACTATACAGTGACATGCTAATGAAAACGCATCCCTGTCGGGGGAAAGAAAAACCCCACTATCTAATGAGAAATGAAGACAAAGCAGAAACCACACTCATGAGCCATGACTGACCACACACACACACACAATTGTGGACCGCAGGGTCACTGCCACCCGAGCATGCTGGGGAGGGCGTTACGGCACAGGGCTGGGTGGACAGAACACCGGCTGAGGCGGGAGGCCGAGGTCTGCACTCACAGTGATAAACCAAACCAAAGGATGGGACAGGACATCAAAGCAGCCACGGACTGTCAGCCAGCATACAAAAGCACAAAAACGGAGAAAAAAGAAGCATAACTATTTTCTATAACCACTCTTACAAATCCCCTGGAAGGAAGGAAGCATGAAACCACAATTAAAACCCTCAAAGAGTTTAAAATATGAGTTAATTAGCTAACAATGTGAATGATAAAGACAGTAGGTCAGACACCACGAAGTGGACTCGTTACCACGGCAGACGCCACCACAGGGATTCACGGCTCCTTCAATTACATGCTGGCTAACGATGCAGCTAAAAATAGAAACGGACAGGAGCGCGTCTGACAGACAGAAGTGCGATCGAAAAGCAGAATGCTGTGAACGTGATTTTATGTGGGAAAGAGGCACGAGCTCATGAAACCTGAGCCACACAGGAAAGTTATCAAAGGTACTTCGGAGCTGCACACTTGTCACCGAAAACTGGAGGGTCACTGGGTTTCCAGACCCTGATGAGCAGAGACGCCCCGGGACCTCCCCAGGGTGCCGCGGTGTGTGGCTTGTGGTGCGGCCGTCCCTGCCTCGTGGAGACCCGGCATCAAGCACGCGGTCCAGTGCATCATTGAAAGAACCAATTTAGGCTTTCTTTTTTGACTGAATGTCCTGTACTCTCCACTTCGGCACCTCTAACGCAAAGGACAGCAGTGACTTCTCTGTAAGTGTGTTACATGCTGCGGAGACCGTCCTCATTACTTCTGTGAAACTGTCTATTCCTAGAAAATAACAATACTCCCCTTGGAGCTGCTGCGCCAGGCACAGGCCCACGTTGTCCAAAGGTGCACCAGTAAAAGCTCTGATGGGCTCACGACGACAGACTAAGCCGGTCATCCAAACGCCACAATTAACACGTCCCTGTGCTGAGTGATTACATACTAGCCAGTCTAAAATGTCTCGAGCCTCTGAACGCAACAAGTGAACCTGGTTTCCCTCTGGGACAAGAAACCAAACCAAGGCACCTCTGCCGAGTCTGAGGCTGAACTTGGGGGCTGGGGCGGGGGCGCCGCCGGCAGAAGGGCCAGCAAATACTCACCAGTGTCATGACCCCCAGTCTGTCCACCTCCCTGGCGGGGCTGTGTGGACCCCTTCGTGGAGTGGAGCGCCCGCTGTGCGGAGGGGACGGGCCTGTGAGCGTGGACGTGGGGTGTGGGGGGGCGGTGCCCCCAGAGCGGAACCGGCCCGGGCTGTCTAAAGTGCCACTGCCCACGCGGCTCTCAATCTCCTCGGCGCGCTGCTCCGCACTCTCCTTCTCTTCTTGGATCAGCCTGGAACGAGAGCGCGTGGTCAGCCCCCCGTGCCAGCGAGCGCGTCGGTCCCACAGATCTAGGCCCGCGTCGAGCGTATGCCCATCAGAAGATTCCAGGAACAGCTACTCTAACAGTAACGTCTTAGTACACGCTGTTTCGGGGCACGACCAAGTCAACCTTCACGGAGTCCCACAGGGCTGCTTCCCGCCACGCGTGTCTCATTCTACTCGCGCACCCGGACACTCCGATGGGGCCCGCTGGCAGCTCTCCTCCCGCACGAGGGCTACGTGAACCTTATTCTTAGTGTATTTACAGCTCAGAGTCCTCAACTGGAAATCGGGAACTGACGTACCTGAGGGACCAACTCACGAGGCAATCGGGAGTTCCCACTCAGGTGTCTAGATTGGATGGAAAGGTGGAGCTGGTTTTTTTTTTTAAGGCTGAATTCAAACAAAAGTCTTATTTAATGGAGTTTTGGACCAGCCTCCTGAGTTTCTGGATTCCCGTCAACCATGCTCTGCTGATTTGGAACTCAGGCTGAGCACTCCTCTCCCCTCAAGTACGACTCGTCGGTGAACAGCAGTGTCCGTACGTGACCGCGTGAATTACTAGTCTAACATTAACACGCAGTGTCCCCGCAGGAACCTTTCCAATGACAGCTCCACTTATGTACCTTGAAAACGTGTTTTATTATGGGTAACAAGTCGGTGGACAGACCTGACCACTGGCATCGGTGGAAGACCCCTTGCACCTGGGCCCGGGCTACCCCCACTTCTCCCTTCCCAGGCGGACGGGGAAAGGCTTTGGCGCTGAGCCAGTCGGCACGGAGCCGGCACTCGTCCTTCCCGCTTCGGAGCCGGCCGCTCTTCCCTGTCTCTCCCACTAACGTTTCTGTCCAGCTCCGCTCTCCACGGGCAGGAACGTGACCCGGGGCTGCTGCAGGACACACAGACACAGGAGCTATCGGGGCCCCTGGGCACAGTGGCAGCCCCCCACGCCCCAGCCTCCATCACCGTGGGGGCCAGTCTCTGGGTCCCTTCCCCGGGGGCCCAGTGCTCTGTCAAGTCACTACTATCACTGCTAAGAGCATTTCTAAGGAAAAGACCCTTGAAATAGCGAAGAGACTGGAAGACCTATATCCTCCGGCCTCTCACCGTTCTACGAAGCACCACTTCTGACCTGTCCTGTTCGTTTAACGTAGCAAACTGCAAGCTTGAATGGGAACCCGCGGGCCTGCAAACCTGGGCTTTTCTGCTCTGTTCAGGGCTGAGTGACACAAGCTGGCCATCTCCGGGCGGGGGATGTGAGAGTGGCGGGCGGACACCACCCCGCACCCCGTCCACACAGGGTGCAGAGTTAGGGGACCCTGCAGCTCGAAGCGGGTAGAGAAGCAGCCCCCCTCACCTGCGGCTGCGCGCCTCACCCTCCCCTCGCCCGCGCACTGGGCTAGGACGTTCCGAGGCAGCCCGGCCTCCTGCCCCGTGAAGGACCCCAGCTGCTTCTCCACAAGTGCACCAGGCCGGCCCCCTCGTCCCGCTCGTGACAGCGCCCCGCCGCACACATCTTCCCTCTGCGTTGCGGGACAGGGAGGGCACCTTGGCCGAGTCTGCGGCCCCGTGTGGCACAGAGCAGCATCGTGGGCACACACCGGGCACCCCTGCGGTTCTCTCTGGCTGTGCTGTCGGCTTCTGGGGGAAGGGACCGAACACCTTCTGCTCCTCCCCCAGATGTCACACCGACACGCCAGGACCGCGACCCTGGAGAGAACGCCCTGGCTAACCGATGTCACAATCAAGGGCAGTCTCAGAACTCAATTCCTAGAGTAAATTGGAGTAGTTTCATCATCGTGGGACACGTAGCAAGCCCTCACGGGATGTGTCCCCGACCTTCTGAGCGCGACAGCACTCCTGAGAGACACTCCCGTCTCCGGGGCCGGGTACCTGATCTCTTTGTTGATGGCGTCCAGCTGCTCCTGAAGCATCATGGCCAACGTCTGGGCGTCGGCCTGCCCACTGGGCGACAGCAGAGCGGCCGAACTGAAGAGAGTGTCCCTGTCGTCTTCGCCATCAGACACATCAACGTCACTCTCGAATGCCTGGGCCACGTTTGCTAGCACGCTGGCTTGCTGGGCACGTTCCCAGTCCTGCTCATTCAGAGTCTGTACCTACAAAGAGGAAAACGGAATCTCACCGAAGACGGAATGTAACAGCAGCAGTTACAGGAACTTCAGAGAACTCATCAGAAACTACACGTTTCCACACAGGAGCCCCAAAGGATCAGGGAACAGGCCGTGCTTCCAAGCTGCTGACATCTGCAGGGCAAGAAGCAGGATTTCAGGCACCGGGCGAGGTGGCAGCCTACCGCCAGGAGGACCCACAGGCGCACCCGAGGTGGACACGTTTCTGTGGTATCATTTACGTGGTGGGACGACCGGCTCAGATACAAAATCTGAAAATTAAAGCAGCATCTCGTGGCCAGTCAGCCAGCCTCACAGGAAGTAAAAACCCATGAGATCCACGGAGGCTGGGTGCGCCTCAGTGGCCCTGACGTCTCACCTGTGTCCCCATGCAGGGGACCAGGAATGGCTGGAGTTTCCCGCCCCACTTCCTGAGGCTGAGAGGTGAGAGGACACGGCACCTGCCCCAGGCAGCAGAGGCCCACACCCTCCTGTTTGAGTGGGCGCTTACAGGCACCGCACACGGGACCAACCGCACACAGTCCCGAGTGCGGGCGCGAGCAGAGGCTCTTCCTGCCCTCCTCCCTCCATACCAACACCCGTTCCCCCTCTTCAGTCTCAGGGGGTGCTGCCCCTCCACCCCTGGGGATAGCCCCACCTGTAGGCACAAGGCCTGGCCCTCAGCGTACTCAAGGACATCATTCTGCCCTCTCTCTGGATAATCAACTTTCTACTGGTTTATTCACATCAGGCTAAAAATGTGTTCTCCCTTCTCCCTCCAAACTAACGGGACAGAAACCACAGAACTTCTACCCCAAGGGTCCTTCCAGCTGCCACTGCGACTTTGCTCCCAGCCAGAGTACAGGCTCTCCAGAACGTGGGCCTGTTCCGTCTACACATCCTCACCTCCCAGTGGAGCTTGTCGCGAGCAGGCTCCCCCAGAACTGGTCTCAGCTCGTCAGCTGCCTTTGACCTGTCCCCTCCCTGAGCACTTGGGGGTTTCTCCCGCCTCGATGTCATTGCTCTGTCGCCATCTGTTCTGTCTCTGTCCCCCCAGCCTGTGCACTGGGAGCGCCTGGAGCTCTACTCTTGGACCTCGGGTCTATCCACAGGTGCCCACTTGGTGACTTTACCTTGCCTGTGCCTCTAGATGCCACAAGTGGGTCCTGGTCTCAATCCTTCTCTCCAGTTAAGGCCTCCTCAGGCCCAGACTGGCATATCCAACTGCTCAGCAGACCTGTCCCCTTGGGTGTCCATGGGCCTGCCGACCCATGAGCCAGGCTGAGGCCCCACGCTAGCCTCCACGACCCTGTGGTCCTCCCCACCTCAGGAGACAGACTTTCTGTCGAGAGGTCACGTGGCGAGGAACTGAGGCCTCCACCAGAGCCAGGCAAGGACACCAACCCCGGGTGGGTGTTCTAGTGGCCCAACCTCCAGAGACCTGAAGCCAGAAGCACCCCGCTCAACTCCCCCAATTTCAAGGACATTGTGAACTACTGAATGTTCATTCCAAGCCACTAGGCACCACAGCAGTGCGTTCAACAGTGGCAGATGACGGACACATGTGCCGCATCTGACCACCGCTGGCCGCCCCTCGCCACACTGCGCGTGCAGAGGATTCCGCCTCTCGTCCGTCCTTCCGCACTGCTGTAGCCCCGGGCTCCGGGGACGCCGGCTGCAAACCCGCTCAGGGAGGACGCAGACTCAGAACACAGACCCGTCTACAAAGACACATGCTGCACACGGGACCAAGTGCACACAGTCCCGAGCGCGGGCGCGAGCACTGTAAGCTTCCGAACGTGAACTCTTTGTGCTTAAGGATGAACGCATGTGTTTACTCTGAACAGTTCGGGCCCGTACTAACGGGCGCTGTGCTGTGCTTAACCGTAAGTCACACTTTACCCGCATTCCCACTCTTTAAAAAGAAAAGAAGCCCTAAGAGTAGACTCTGAGCCGGCAAAAGAAGAACGGGGGCCGGGGGTGGGGGGCCAGACAGTGACCTATCAGCACTGTCACTCTGGAAGGGCGTGTAAGTCAGAGGCCACGGCAGGTGACACTCAGGGAAGTGCGGGGGTGCGGAGAGCCCACTGGGGACGGAGGTCCTTGCCTTGGAAGGCTCATCTCGCAGAGCAGCCAGACGGCCCTTCTGGGGGCGCCGCAACACGGCGCCGCTGCTGTAGGAGTCCGTGGGGCCGTCTGCCACAGGGAACCGGAAATCAGGGACACTGCCCAAGTGCGGTCGGCTGAAACATGGGGAAAAAAGAAAAGGTCGTCACTGGAAGAAAAGTAAACTGTGAGCTCTGCCAGCCAAGCCAGAACCGGTCAGTCGGAAAATGATTTCACCAAAAAAGGCCTCTCCAAGGGCCCCGTCTTGCCCCGTCTCCCCTAACAGCCCGCTGCCCACGCCCGCAGAGGGCGCCCCAGCAGGCTCAGCACTGCACGCCCAGGAAAGCACGGGCAGGTGAGCGCGCCACGGCCCGGCGGTCTGAGAGCCGGCGGACGGGTGTGCTCTCCAGCTCGGAGCCCGCCCCCAGGCCCGCCGTCCTGCATTTCCGCGGCCCCGTCCCCCCGAATGATCAGGAAGCGCACCGACCCACCACGCTGGCCTTCAACTGCCACCGTCCCACTTGTGCCAAGGCCCACGGTGTGAGGCCTAGCGACCACAGGGACTCCCCCAGCTGCTACCAGCAGCCGTCTTAGGGCACCGGTGGCAGAAGCCTTCCGAGCCCCCACTCGCGGCTTATGTGCACGGGGTCTGGCGGCACACCCGGTGTTTCCGGTCAGAAGCACGGGCGTGTGTGCGGTCAGGCCGACAGACAGCCAGCGCCCGGGGATGAGCAGTCCCGAGGAGAGGCAGATGGAGCCCGGGGCACCAGAGAGCAGAGCTGCAGTGGGCCGTCAGCGGCTCCCCTCAGCAAAGGCTCCGGAGAGAAACTGGCGAGCAGAGATGAAGGAGTGCGGCGGCCGAGAGCCCACACGCCTGGCCTCAGCCACGGGTTCACCCCTGTGCCCCGATTCTGGCACGGAGTCCAGTGGCTCCTTGTCCTCTGGGAGAGGAGTGGCTGCCTGTGTTTTCAGAAATCCTTAAGATCCTGGGAGACGGAACCCACTCATGTGATTAGGGTCACCTCAGGAGGGCGCCGCTGGCACCTCCCCACCATCTGCAGACGGGGCCACTCGGACGGGCTGCCCCCTCCACTTGCGCTCCACGCACCTCCCTCTGGTTTTTAAAGGAACGCCTTCCTTCAGGGCCGCCGGAGGACTAGAGGTCCCCTAGTCCCCGCGTCCCGAAGCCGCCTGCTCACACTCGGCAGTTGGAGGACGGCTGCTCTGGGCCACGGCGCGTCACGAGATTGGTGAGAGCCACACGCACGAAACCCTGCGTGTGATGTGGGGTGGTACACAGACCCTCCAGGGGTCATGAGTGTCCCCTAATTCTGATCCCCTTCTGGGGCTCACTTCCTCCTGAGCCCGCCACCTACATCAGGGTGCATCCCTAAACTGTGTCCCATTGGTCCCACGTGTGGGAGCCTGTCACCTCTCTCCTGCTCTGCAACCTAGACCGTCTCCTTCTGCTGGAAAAGGTCACGTGGACAAGACTGGAGGGGCTGCACCTGCTGGCCACCAGCCATCTTTCCAATCCCACCCTCCATGGCCCGCCTGTGCTTATCGCAACACGTCTGTCCCACAGCTCCTACCAGCCTCTCGTCGGCCACCGGGGGGGCGGGGTGGGGCTCTACACGAGACTGCTTGAAACACACCCCTCCTCTGCACCCATCTTCGGACCACACAGCCTCCTGTGACCCTGGCCACTCCTTCCGCCCCTCTCCATCCTTCACATTTGCTAGCACACCCAGAATAGGCAGACACACACGGACTTCTGTCATCACACTGTCCCACAGTGCCACCCCTCAGGTTTCCACACGGCCCCTTCCCTTCATACTCCAGCTTCTGCCAGTGCGGCGGGCGCCGTGTCCGCCTCACACACACGCCTTCAAGCCGGAAGCAGCGCCACTCGTGACCCTGGCCTCCCATCGGCGAGGCTCTCAGTCAGCAAACCAAGAGCCTGCTCTGCGCCCCGATCCTCCCACGCTCTGCCCCATCTGCACACTATCCCGCTCCTTCTTGAAGCTCTCCCTCTGGGGGTTCCCCACACAGGGACAGCTTCCGGCTCTGCCTCTCTGTGACTCCGCCTTCCCCGAAGCGTCCCCCTCCTTCCTACACGCAGGCCCCCAAGGGACAGTCACAAGATACCCCCGGCCTTCCCGAGAGCCCACGCCTGTGACTGAAGAAACACTGGCGCGGCCTGCGTGTGCCCGCTTCCTGCAGACTGAGGAGGCTCACTCAGCTACCCGGCAGCTCTCGGTCAAGTGCGACTTTCACGTGATGACTCTTTGCCACAATGGGGCAAACAAACCCCCAACACCTTTGTGGGACTGACAGCCTGCGGGACACGGGGTGACCTGCTAGGCTCCCGGGCCAGCTGACCCCCTCCCACAGCCGCTGACTCCAAGCTGTCCCAGGAGACTTAAGGCGACCACACATCATTCTCCTTCCATCCCTTAAAGAACGTAAAAAGCTACAAGCACTAAGCCAAGCCCATGAACTCAAGGCGCCCCTCACAATTCTGGTCGTGCGGCCGCTCCCCAGCAACCCCACTGGCCTTGCGGGGGGCCCACTGCTCCCAGCGGCACAGGGCCCTCCTCTGACACACTAGGCTCTGTCCTCCGGGACCCACACCGTCAGTGCTACACTCTGGGGGCCCGCAAATTCACCCACCCACACACAGACTGATCATTCCCTACCTTCCGCACCCCCTCCCACAGCTGGGAGCTTGGCCAAGGACAGGACTCCCAGTCCCTCAGGTGCCTAAACCCAACCCTTCGCTCCCGTCTGCCACTAAGCGAGCTTCCAGCTCTGCATGACCCTAGGAACACTCTTGTGGACGCACATCGGGTGCTAAAACAGGGATGTGTGAACCGGTTCACACGAGGCCCGTGGCTCCTCCAGCCCGTATTTGCGGGCTGGTTTGGGTCGGACATGAGGCGAGGAGAAGCGACCCTCGCCTCACCCGGAACATCCCCGTGAACTGGTCCGTGTCGTACCCGTGATGAAGGGACGCGCCTCTCAGCCGTGTCTGGTCTAACTCCGCTCTCAGCGCCTCCACGTTTAGGACAAGCTGGTCCTACAAGAGAGTAGAGGATATCAACTGCGGCCACCTCTTGCAGGACTCAAAAGACAACAGACTCTGTGACAACAGACTCTTAACCCAAAGCCCACGCTGCTGGTCGCCAGAGGGGAGGCAGCCGGGCAGGTGTGGCACCGAAGAACGGGGTGAGGAGATGAACACGTAGGAGCTTCTGGTTCACGATCCATAATTCACGGTGGTGGAAAGTGTGGCCCAGGACACACAGCCAGTGATCCCACAGACACTCATGGGGATGGGATGTGACTGCAGCGGTGGTGAGCACCGAGTGACATACAGACTCGAGAGTCCGTGTGCTGTATACCCGCAACTGTCCGAACCCCGCAGATTAATGATGCACCAATTAAAAGTACGGAAAAGTGACTTGCGTCACGCGTGGTCACACGGGCTCGCGACCACAGCAGGGTGTCTGTAGCGGTCACGATCGCCCAACGTTTAATTTCAAGCAAGTGTTCTCCAAGAGTCCTACGGCAAACATGAACACTCGGGTCACCAAATTACCTTCATCAACCCCGGCAGACAGAGCTGTGAGCTCTCAGTCACAGCCAGCCTTTAGAGGAGAAACACCAGACCGTGAGCAATGACTAACTTTGTAGCAAGAAGCGGAACTTTCTGGGTGGTGCGGAGAGCCGGGCCCGCGCTCTACTGCGCAGAGTCTCCTGTTCTCGTCTTGCTCGGGGCATCTGGAGCCCAGCCTCGCCTCTGTCCACGCAGAACAGCGTGGGAAGCCGACAGAAGTCTTAGGGCACCCAACAGCTCACTAGCCACGCTGTCCCCCGCAGCGGCCGCACCGCCCGTGTGTCAGGTTGGGTGAACTGAACTTCACCGCTTCTCCTTACGGCTGTAAACGTGGCTGCAAGCACACGTTAGGTGACCCCGGTGCCTCACAATGATCTCCTGCTGGCCAGCACTGCACCACATGAGAGGTTTACGGGAACATTTACACTTTTGAATGAACCAGAAAGGACTGCGGAGGGCCTGAACCACGCCTGTGGAGGGCCACTGTAAAGCTCAGGGCAGCGGCCCCAGGAGCAGCCCCCAGATCGGCTCCGCTCCTGGCTCGGCAGACCCCCCACCGAAGAAGTCAGAGAGGAAAGTACCTTATCGTGTTGTGCCTCTTCTAACTGCTTCTTCGCAGTTTCAACTTCTCGCAACAGAGAATTCTGAAAAAGATGCAGACGGAGCTTTGGTGTTGGTTCTTGAAAATGTCCCATGCGATACAGTATGGCCACGCTTTTGTGAAAAATAATACGGTACCACAGAAAAGGAACGGACCACAGGAGCACGCCAACCGCAGGCCACGTGCCACAGAGCGAATGCGGGCAGTGACATCACGCGTCAGCACGTACCAATATAACATGTTCGCGGAAAATCTCTACACCGATCGGTTCTCTAAACGTGAGTATGACGAGTTCGTGGAGTAAGCTTACTTTGGTCAGTTAAAGTGGTTTGTACTAGCTCTTAGGCCTTGCAATTCAGCAGTCACTGGGGAATCCTGACGTAGACGTCAAACGCAGAATTCAAGTCTCAGATAAAGATACTCCTACACGAGGGCTGGCCGTAGGTGCGGCAACCGCCCTACGCAGTAACAGTGAGTTTCATTACGGGTTCTACGTAAAACAAATGAGTCACGTCGTCAGTCGCGACCACGGCTGTCTCCGAGATGAGCGTGACTCCAAGTGCCGACCTTAGGAAAGATTCTGGGCCCAACCTGAGGGAGGCGGCTGTAGCCAGAATAGGTTTTATCAAGCCGGAATCCAAGTGTCCCCACCGGAGCTTCTCTGACATAGGTTCCAGGACGCGCCTGCACTCCAGTTACAGCTCGAGTATTTCCATGATGACAGTAAGAGCCCAGGCTCAGACTTTTTCCAAACCAGATGAAAAGAGAGAAGGCAGGAGATGAAAAAGGAGAATGTCTGTCTTTGGTCGATTAAAGCCCTTACGTAACACTGGGCTCCTACAGTGTCATCTTCCCAAGCGGGACAGAAATTCGTCCCCGAGCAAGAGCACCACGGCTGAGGGCAGAACACAAAGTTCCGTGCAGGGCTGGCGGACGAGGCCACATCTGGCCACTGCCCGGTGCTAGAAATCAAGGGTCCCTGGCACACAGCCGCACCCACTTGTCCCCTACAGTGTGTGGCTGCTTTTGTGCTAATTACTGACAGCAGGAGGTTCTTTTACACAAGTCTACACAGTATTCGCAATTAGTAAAAGCCTCCGATCCCTACAATTCTGGCCCTTTACAGACCCAGTTTAGACTCCTGCTCTAGACGGAGAGTAATACATGTGGCAGGCGAGGACAGGACGCTGGCAAGTCAGTTCAGTGAGTGGGTAAAGTCTGTCCTGTTCCACGTCAGAGAACAACTCCTGCCTCCGCTACCAGCTGTCACCCGCCGTTCCGCACTAGTCCCCAGGAGCAGAGCGTGAGCGCTCTCCCATGGAGGGCAGGAGCCCTCAGGCATGCTCGTGATGTCCCACCTTGTCCTCCAGAGCAGCCATTCTCTCCTTAAGATGGAGCTGAAGCCTCTCGTTGGATTCCGAAAGAAGCCTGTCCACGGTGTCTGACAGGCGCTTGTTATGCTCCTCGTTCATTTTTTCTCTCTGTCTCGCCTAAGACCGAAGAAACAAAAGATTACAAACTCCCAGGAAAGGTAGCACCCAGAGTTAGGCCACGGCAGACACGGCTGCTCTAAATACTGGGGTGCAGGTGCCCCTTCGAGGCACTATGTTTGTAGCCTTTGGATGAACACCCAGTAGTGCAACTGCTGGGTCGCAGGGTAGCTCTGTTTTAAACTTCCTTTTAATTTACTGTTTTCCAGAGTGGCAGTGCCAGTTTGCATTCCCAACATGGACAGACGGATAGAGAAGATGTGCTGTGTGTGTAGACAACGGAATGTTACTCAGCCACCAAAAAGAACGAAATCTTGTCCCTTGCAATGACGTGGACGAACTAGACAGAGAATAGTATGCTGAAGGAAGTAAGTCAATCAGAGAAAGACAAACACCATATGATGTTACTCACGTGGAATTTAAGAAACAAAACAGATAAACATAGGGGAAGGAAGGGAAACATAAGACGAAATCAGAGAGGGAGACAAATCACAAGAGACTCTTAACTCTAGGGAATAAACTGATGGCTGCTGGGGGGGAGGTAGGGAGTGCTGGGGTGACTGGGGGACAGGCATTACAGAGGACGGGAGATGGAGAGAGCACTGGGTGTTACATGCAACTGATGAGTCACTGACCTCCACCTCTGACACTAATAATACACTATAGTGTTAACTAAACTGAATTTAAATTTAAAAATTTTTTAAAAAGAATAAAGGGTGTGATCAGTGTTTCCAAAATGCCAAGGACTAATGGCATGATTCACTCGCGTGCTGCCCTGGGCTGGTCCATCCCACTGCCACCCTTGGGGCACTCATGCACCAGCACCGACATATCGGTGCAGAGAAACGCAGGGACAAGTCCCCGAGAGCATTAATTAGAAGGTCCCACTGTTTCTGTTAAAGCACTCACAGGGCTGCAGGCATGTCACGAGTTACTAACAGACGACTCGGGAGGCAGATTTACAGGCAGGAATGGGCGTATTTTTAAGGGGATCAGCTTATCTACACACGGGGGGAGGAACTTTCCTGTGTGTAAACAGAAGCTTGGGTCTGGATTCGGGGTGGGGGGGGAGGTTGAACCAATTTACAAAGCAAAAGGTAAAAAAAACGCATTTTGGAGAAAACTTCAGCGGCAACAGAGACTTGCAGCTGTTTTTCTGCGTGTTCATACTTCGCCTGAATGTTCTATAATGAAAATTTATGTTCAAAGATTATAACTAACTACCTCAAGGAATTTAAGAACGTAGTAACAAAGCTGATAGTCTGTGTTTGCCTAACCATCACCCATTTCCCGGTTTACAGAGCTTGTGCTGGCCCTGATCCGGAAGGAAGACAAGACCTCAGGCGTGGGAACAGGAAGTGCCCAGGGCAGCAGTCGGGACGGTGACCAAGAGCATCACCTGAGTTGGGGACAGGGCTCAGCGGGTTCTCCTGGGCAGAGGGGACAGGGTGGAGAGGGGCTGTCCAGGCGTGCCACCCATGTAGGAGGAGTGAGCCCACAAAGACGCACCACAGACTGGACAACAGGGTCAAGTCCTCTGTGCCGGCCTCCTCGTCTCTAAAACATGGGTGCTGGCACCTCTCCTCTTGCCAGGATGAAACAGAGCACAGAGAAGCCCGCCGTGCACAGCAACTACGAAATGACCCACCACACCCCACAGAAAGGAAGCGGTGGTTGAGGATTTTTAAAGCAAAACAGATGAAAAGTTGGCTTTGAATTGCCTGAGTTAGGAAAGAACCCCCATCTCCACACCTGTCCTTCCCGACGACAGGCCAGCCCCGAGAAGCAGTGAGTCCATCCCCGAACAGCTTAAGTCTAATCCTCTAACAGGAGAGCGTCTGCCCGTGTGCACGCGTGTGCGTGTGACATGGGGGCCAGGGCTACCTAAGCTGCAGTCCTGTGGCCAGGGACAGAATTCTCACTTCCGGGGGCACCTGGGGGGCACAGCGGGTTAAGCCTCTGCCTTCGGCTCAGGTCATGATCTCAGGGTCCTAGATCGAGCCCCACATCAGGCTCTCTGCTCAACAGGGAGCCTGCTTCCTCCTCTCTCTCTGCCTGTTTCTGTGCCAACTTGTGATCTCTGTCAAATAAATAAACAAAATCTTAAAAAAAAAAAAAAAAAGACCCCTCCCTTCCCGTGTGTGATCCTCCGCAGCCCCTGGCCAGGCACATATGCTTCTGGTGAAAACACAATCTGATGGCCGTGAGCTGCCGGCCTACGGCTAGGGGCCAGCTGACTGGGGCCATGGCCCGGTTGGCTTGAGTTTCTCCACACGGACACGTGAGCAACTCCTCCAGTGAAGACTGGGGATTCAACAGACGCGCACCCCCTCCCTTCCACAGCTCAAGGACGGTCGTGCTTTTCTCGGGAAAAGCTATCCTGGCTGGTGCCTTTACATCTTGAGCGAGACTTCAGGACTTGAGGATCAAGGTCAGCCCGTGACCTGACTTCGGGACCTCAATGTCATGGCCTAGGCGAGCGGACTAATCCTCTCGGACCCCAGCCAGCACCAGCAGTTTGGCTGAGGGCACCTGTGAGATCCCACCTGCACGCGGAGCAGCTCTGCTGATGAGCCAGTCAGAGCGACGGGACATGGGCTCTCTGTATCCCAGCAGCACTGCCCCGGGGCACCGCTCTCGTCCCACGCCACCAGTGCTGACCTGACATGATCTGTGTGGTGGCTGCACCCACCAGCACACAGCTGGCAGAGGAGGCCACTAACTCTACACCCGACGGAGTCAAGAAGGGGACCAGTGCCTGGGTGGGGAGAAGCGGGAAACGAGGCACCGCCTCCCCCAGCAGCGCCCGGTGCGCAGCCTGTGTGCCCGGACACGTACCCGCTGCAGCTCCTGGTTCTTCTCTTCCAACTGTGCCTCCATCTGCCGGAGCCTCTCCTCGATGTTGCCGTGCCTCTCCTCGGCCTGTCGGCAAAGACACTGTCACCCCACAGGCGGCCCCGTCCGTGCCAGCATGCTGTGCGCCAGCGCGGGACAGCCACAAGCGCAACATGCTCTGTGCGGGGCTCACATACCGCCGGGCGGGGCAGCCTCTCCTCCTGCCCGGATCGCACCCCGTGCAGCCACACGCGCCGCAGCGCCAAGCACCAGGCCACCGAGGCCCAGCCGGGCCGGTGCCGGCCTCTGCCCGCGCAGAGGGGCCTCCCCGCAGGCCTCTACCCGGCCCGGCCGGGGGCTGTCTCCCGGGCTCGCTCAGCACAGACAGCAGGAAGCGGCAAGGAGCAAGGAGCCGCGCGTGCGCTACCTTCCTAAGCTGGGAAGTGAGTTCGAACAGCCTAGCTTCCTTAGCAGCACAGCTTCCCGAAGACAAGAGGTCAGGCTACAAGGCCGACCGGGGACAGAAGCGATGACAGGGGGAGAAAAGAAACGGAGACTTTACACGCAGATCACAGAGGAGAGGAGAGGAGAGGAGAGGAGAGGAGAGGAGAGGAGAGGAGAGGAGAGGAGAGGAGAGGAGAGGCTGTTACAAGCTGGTAGCCACGAGCCTGCTCTCGGGAACAGTCCTGTGAGCCCCCGATACCGTCTGCCCGAGCTAAGGGCAGCCTTCGAGAACAGCACCTGGGACCGTCCTGTCCCCTTCTCCCTGGGGCCCTCACAAACCGGAGCCAGGTGAGGCGTGAGGACTGGCGGGCGCCTCCCTACGGGCTCCCTCGCAGGGCGCTCTGCCTGCTGGGTGCCCGCGCCCCGGAAGGCTGGACTGTTCTCTGGGATTTGTGCTTCCTCTTCCCACGCGGACCCCCCCGACCTCAGCAGCCACATCACAGCTGGACACTGCGTCCTCGCCTGCTGGCGCCCGCCCCCACCACCCCGTGGATGCCGAGGACTGGGAGGGCAAGGCTGTGTCGCACACATGCTAGCCCGTATCTCTCAAACCCGTGAATGAGTTAAAGATTTTGGTATTACATACTTATTTGGATCACCTTCAAAAGAGAATAGGATTTTCATTTTTCTGGGAAAAATCGAACCTTTCTTTTAAAGTAATCTCTCCGCCCCACGTGGGGCTTCTCCTGACAGCAGCAAGACCGAGAGGCGCACGCTCCAGCGGCCGAGCCCGCCAGGCGCCCCGACCCTTGCTTTAGCCAAAGCTCGTGTCTCGAGCTTTGAGGTGTTGACCTGAATCCCCCTGAGCAGCAGTGGGCGTCAGAACAAGCCCTCCGGAAACAGGGCAGTACACAGCTGACAAAACTGGGGTTAATCAACGTAGGGAGAACGAAAACGGGGACGACTCCTCACGCTAAAAAAGCTGGGGACCTCAGACAGAAGCGCGCGGGACACAGCCCCGAGCTCCTTCTTGGGCTCGGACGCGCCGACACGAGGAACAACGGTAACTAGGGCTCGCGAACCCAGCACCATCCAACTCCAAGTCCCGGCCCGGGCCCCGAGGGACAGGCAGCCCACCTTGGAGAGCGCGGCCACCCTCTGCGCCAGCTCGGCCTCCACCTCGGGGAGAGTCTCGGCCTTCCGCAGCGTCTGCTGTAGCTTCTGCTCGGCGAGCTCCAGGCGCTCCTGCAGCTGCCGGTTCCTGTCCTCGGTCTAGGAAGGAAGGCAAAGCGTCACAACGCAGCCCGTCGGCCGGCCACTCCCACGTTTGATGACATGAAACGAGCCCTAAGCGCGGGAGCTACTGAACGGGCTCTGACAGAGCCCACTGTTTTGGTAGCTGCTTCCGAGTACAATGTTCCTTCTTGCGAGGAACATACACCCACTTTCTTGGGCCTGATTTCAACATGCAAAACACCTGCTGCCAAAGCGCTGCTCCTCCTAAGCATCTTCAACCAAGTCTCTAAGTAGAAAAAAAGCTCCCAGGCGTTAAGGAAAACCCGCGATCTGTAGAAGCTGGCTCATTCTTCCTGACAACTTAAGGAAAGAAGGGTTCGGTCCTAACCCTGCTTAAAAAATGACCAGACGCCTCGCCTTTCACTGACCGTGGGCGTGTAAGCCACACGCAGCTCAAACAGCCTCGGAAGTGCAGGCCTTCTAAGAGTTCACCTAGTGAAATGCTAGTCACGTTATTTTCGTAACTGAGTAATTGTTCCTTAAAAACACTCTCGTTCTAAGAAACATTTTTTTAATGAAGAAAATTCAAACAAGACTGTTTCTTTAAAGAAATTTTAAGAGGCTCCTGGGTGGCTCAGTGGGTTAAAGCCTCTGCCTTCGGCTCAGGTCATGGTCCCAGGGTCTTGGGATCAAGCCCCGCGCCGGGCGCTCTGCTCAGTGAGGAGCCTGCTTCCCCCTCCCTCTCTCTACCTCCCTCTTTGCCTACTTGTGCTCTCCGTCTGTCAAATAAATAAAATCTTTTAAAAAAATTTTAAAAAATCACGGATAAGCCGAGGTTCCTGAGAGGCCAACACCTGCTCACGTGCGGGCTTCTTCTTTCTCCTGTGCACCTGTGTCCGTGTTTATCTGTACACACCCTTGGAAGACACAGCACGCTATACGCAGTGTTTTGTCGCCTACCTTTTACGGTCATTATTTGGAACATCTTACGTGCTCTGGAAGAGCATCACACAATGTAATCCTGAGTGGTTTCCTAGTATCTTACTTTTTATTATTATCTTGGACCTAACAATATACTTTACAATATATCAGACAAGCTCACTTTGTTTCCAAGAGGCTGGCTTTGGCTCTCCTGCTAACTCCGGACGACCTGAGACGAGCAGGGCAGAGAAGCCGGCGTGGCTTCCCAACCACAGGAGGGGCCCATTTCTGCACCTGCCATTCACCCCCATCCCAAGTACCAACAAAAGGGGCCAACTGCCTCCACGCTCTCGGCCATTCCCTCCTCCTCTGGTAGAAATGCTAACATGCACCAGATTAATGTGCAATGAAAACAAAGCAGAGCAAAGAATGGAGGTTGCACAAAATCCTAAATAAGTAAAAACTTACAAGTTGAGGTAACCAAGTTCTTGAACATAATTTTCTAAGATCATAAAAACTTTACACTGAGACTTGATTTCCAACACAAAAGTCACAGGAAAAAGGTCTTTAACTTCATCAGTAATAGACGAAAGTCAAATGAAGTTCGACGAAAGCCACTACCTGCCGGTGCATAGAGTCTTTATTTGCGATCTCGTTTTCAAGTTTATCGTTGAGGTCGTGCACAGAGGTGGCTTCGCGCTGTGCCGCGAGGTAGCGTTTTTCAAGAGTAGTGATCCTCTCCTCCATGTCCTCCTTCTGGGCCATGGCCTACATCAAGTATTTCAAAGGGAAAAAAGGCAAATAATTAACGTATGCACATTAATACACTCCACACACAAAAACCGGACTAAATCTTGATTTTCAAAGTCAAATATAAAACCAGTGTCTTCAAAATTGAGAGGTGCCAATGCCTCCAATACGAATGAAAATATACTTACCTCAAACATCCCAAGCCCCTACACAACCAAAGAAGACTCAGCTGTCTTAATACTACATCTGGCCACTAAGTGTACCAAGCTTACTCTTTCCTACATGACGCTACAAAAGAAACGCGGAATCAAATATCCCCACACGGCAAGAATGCCAGGAGCTGAAGGTGCGAGCAACGAGGCACGGCCTCTACGGGCCCCGACACTGGCGGGCTTTCCACGGAGCAGGCGGTGGCCTCTCCCAGACAGATCAGGGGGCGCAGCCGTCGTTTCCCTGCATAAAGGCTGGATGAAACCGCAGTCGATCACCACAGAACTGGGGCACTGCTGTCGACAAACGGAAGCGAAACGCCACATCTGCTGTGACTGGAAGCCACCGTCCGCAGCCCCATCTCGCAGCGAAGTCCACCCCAGGGGAGTCTGACGCAGAAAGTGGGCCCAGAACCTTCCGCCCCGCCTTCCTGTCCCCCACCTAAAGATTCATCTTAGGTCCCTCCTGTTTACTGAGGAACTTACGTCAGCGAAGTCTTAGTATTTCAAGTGATGAGTCTTAAAAAGAGAATTTCACAATTCTCTGCACACTAAACTCAGCTACACAATCTCCTACCCTTGCCGAAGAAAAATATAACTAAGGAGGCTAAATAATCCCTACAAATGTTTTCCTTTGTTTTAAACTCTTGGGTGAAATTAGGCCCGCTACGCTGCTGTGCAGAAAGGAAGCCTGTGCATCCACGTTCGAGGGGTGACAGGTCCTCCCGCAGCCCGGGGGTGGGGACGACTCTGTCTACAGGGACAGCGTACAGGGAGCGACAGGTGGGGGCGCCAGAGAAAGCCCCCTGCCCTTTACCTGTTTTGTAAACATGACTCGATTCCCATAAATCACTGCTCACACGGAACGACTGCCAGAAACGAGTACCTGTCTACCGGGCCTGACAGCATGATCCTGGTGACCCAAGTGTGAGCAAGGTCCACTGCCCAGTGGGTCTGACCGCCGACGTCTGAGAGCACATGAGCCCTCTGGCGCGGCAGGGCAGAAAGCTCGGACGGCGGCCAGTGCATGCCCCTGCACATCAGTGCACGGGCTAGCAGCACAACAGACACGGACGCGTGCACCAGAGTGAAACACGAGCGTGACGGAGAAGAGATCCAGATGGCTGGACTCTGCTGAGGGGAGACGTCTACACACCAGGGTCCCCCCCGAGCACCCCCATTCAGCTCAACGACGGCACGGCAACGCCCCCGTCACTCACTTCACGGACATCGCGCTGCAGCTTCGTGTTCACCTCCTCAGACTTGATGAGGTCCTTCCTGGCGGTGTCCAGGTCCTCCTCCAGCTCTGCCACGTGACTGGAGAGTGCGGCCAGGCGCTCCTTCATCTGGCTCTGCTCCTCTGACTGCTTGTCTATGATTTCCTGGAGCTCGATGACTTTGGCAAGGTCTTCCTCGTGGCTTAAAGAACCGTCGGAAGATCTCTGGGGGGGAAAAATCCTTGAATAGCCTTGTTTGGTGAGTTAAGGGATAGAGCCCTTCCCAGAAAGAGTCAAGTGCCGCGATCTACACCAGGGTTGGCTCCCACAGCCCTCGGGAGCACACAGAGGACATCGGGGAAAGACACAGAGACACTAAGGACTTGCCTGTCCGTTTGTGCTCGGAGTATTTTCTTGCTCGTGGTTCATGTCAAGCACTCCATCGGTTAACGTTTTTTTCTGATTATTCTGTTCTTTAAGAATCATTAGCTAAAAGCAAAGAATTAAACACGGGGTGAGGAGATAAAGAGAAATTCCTCTCGGAAAGATGCAACTACAAACTAAACACGGGACTGGGGAGCACACACGGTGATGTTGTCTAGCCTGAACACAACTAGGTCAGCAACTAGGTCAGTGCTCTCGACTGGACGATGGGGACATAAGGGACCGTGCAACCCGGCGCTAAGAGCCTAGTGCTGGTCACTGCAGTGGCCCGGGAGGCTTGCTCGCTGGTCAGAAAGACCAGTGATGCCTGATGGCCGGCACTGCAGGCTTCATGCTTCTTATGAAAACAAGGGATAAAAATTACAGTCCCTCTAATCAAATTCCATGGTGATTGACGCAGCTTACCTCTTTGTGTGTGGCCCCTAGTTCTTCTTCTAACAAACTACACCTTTCAAGTGCTACTCGTAGCCGCTCCCTCACCTGGAAACAGAGGGGTTGAGTGTGTATGTGTTTTTGTTTAATTGCTTCTTAACGTAAAGTCACCCTCGGGACCCATCTGCGTAAGGTAACATGACAGAATGGCTTCAATGTCTTCCACTGATGTTAATGTCAAGAAAACTGGCTTGCTGGGGCGCCTGGGTGGCTCAGCCGGTGAAGCGTCTGCCTTCGGCTCAGGTCATGATCCCTGGGTCCTGGGATCGAGTCCTGCATCAGGCTCTCCGCTCAGCGGGAAGCCTGTTCCTCCCTCTCCCGCTACCCCGCCCAGCTCGTCTGTTCTCTCTAATAAATAAGATCTTTAGGGGAAAAAAGAAAAACAACTTACTTTGTAACAGCTTTAAATTTTACATTTGAGAGAAATCTTCCCCTAAATAAGTTACATAACCCAACTCTTCATGACAAATCAATATAGAGCATATGGTAAGTCTTAAGACATTTATACCAACCGCCACATTTTAACCATACAGAAGTCTGTCCTCTCACAGAAAAGGTGTGTACAGGAGCTGGAGAAGGTTAAAAGTGAACTGCAGCCACACACGCACGAAGCGTGTCCCTGACGCAGGGCACGTGCACACCGGGAGCCGCAGGGGCTCGGGCACCTTTTCGTCCAGGGCTTTGTGGTGCTCGAACAAGGACTTGAGCGCTTTGAGCACCTCCACCTCGCTGGACACGCCCGCCGGGGACTGCGCCTGCCGCTTCACCACCGTCATGCGCAGGGACCGCTCGTGCCTGGACACGAGGCACTCCAAGTGCTCCAGCAGCAGCTGGTGGGACAGGCCAAGGTAAAAAGCATGTTGAAAGAGCACTTGTGATTTCACACTTCCCTTGGGGGCAAAAACCCCTTTCAATCGCAAGCCAGGCCAAACACGAATCCCTTCAATTCAGTCTAAAATGAGAGAGCCCCCCCCCAACCCCCAGAATGAGTTAAAACAGTGTTAGCTCTCATCACGACCCAAACATGGTCTGAGCATGCTGAGCTCATCAGTCAGGGTCGACTCCACGGGGAAATGTCGACAGAGTGTTCAAAGCAGGTTGAGCAGGAGCGCCGAGTCTACAGGCAGCAGCCGTGCTTCCCAGGTGATCCCCGCCAGCCTGCGAACGGCGAGAACGTGCCTACTGACCCTGGTGTTGTTCCTTTCCGCCTTCAGCTCTGCGATCTCTTCCTCTCTCTCCAGGAGCTGCTCCCTGCAGACGTTGAGCTCCTTGGTAAGTGCTGCGAACTCCTGGGGGGTGGCAACAAAATCGGAGGGGGGCAGCGGGTCGTTAGCCTCCGCACCCGCCCGCCACCCCAGAGCCCCGCAGGCACACAGGCTCTCCTCGTGACCCACCCGAGTCCCACGTGTGTTTCCGAGCGTGGGGCCTGACACCCAAGGGGCCAGGGAGGTTTTCTGGCACCTCGCAGATACGCGGCTCAGAACCTCGGCTGAGGGGAGAACGCCGAGGAGGCCACCGCTCGTCTCCAGCCTCCTGTCCTGCCTTAGCCAGCTCCTGGAGCCTGTGAAGACCACGGGCTTGGGGCAGCCCCGGGAAGAGGCTGGCAGCCCCAAAGCTGGTCCGTTAGCCTCAACTGGCTCAAAATCAACCCAGTGAAACGGACCTCTCACAACTGCTGGCAGGCAGTTTATTTAGAAAGAGGTGTGGCTTTAACACAGGTCAAGGTAACAGGAGAAGTAGCTTCCGCCATCCAGAGGAAGCGGACCCTCCCCGGACACCACTATGAGAATCGCCGAGACGCTGGAACGACGAGACGCTGGAACGGCGAGACACGGCGCCGAATGTGCTCCAGCGTAGGAGAGGGAGGGGAAATCCGTGAGTACGGGGCGTCTGCCTGCCCAGGTTTTTCATGCAGATGTTAAGTGCCCTACTTTGGGGGGGGAATGCCACAAAGGACATTTATTCCTGCGGAAGAGAACTGAATCCGAGACCGAAGGCAGGGAGGGCAGAATGAGCGAGCACGTTGTGGGGAGGCAGTGGGTTTTGTGATCAGGCCGGCCGTATCCGGAGCGGACCCCCGGCCCTTGACACCAGCAGCCAGTCCTCCGGTTGTGCAACAAGGAGGCCTGGACAACCAGAACACTTTCTCCGGGTCAGGTCCACTGATGCTTTGTCCCTTAACTTGGGAGGTAACCTGACAGGAAGGGGCTGCCTCTTAACGTTCTTCTGATACTGGACAATATCCTGGTCACTCCCAACCCTGCAAGCTTGACATGGAATGTGTCCTGGTGGCCCACGTGCCCTGAAGCACATCTCTAATGCAGTCTGTGGGTCGGGGGCCATGAGGACCTGCAAGGCTCATTACCAGGATCCTTTACAAAAAGGACGACCAACGTTCTAAAAGTGAAGCATGACAGAGAGAACGCCTTGGAAGTCTGGAAGGATTATACCACTGAAGACGCCATCGATGGGACAGTTAACGTCGTGAAAGCCTTCAAACCCAAAACAATAAATTCTTGCTGGAGAAAACGGCCCAAATGTTAGGCATGATCTCCCAGGATTACGACACAGCTAGTGTAGCAAATCATGAAACCGATTGTGGACATGGCAGAAAAGCTGGGGGATGAAGGGTTCTGAGATGTGGATCTTGGAGAAATGCAAGGGCTCACAGACGCCACCCCAGAGGGGCTAACAGGGGATGATGGGACGGAGACGAGAGCTTCTGAGCCAGCGCTGGGCGTGAGGAAGGAGACTCAAAGACCCTGTCCAGAAACCATGGTGTCATCACGTACCCTGGAGAGGGCTCTGCTTGCTCAAGACCACTCCTGGCTTCCTGTAGCACGCAGACCCGTCTGTGGTGCGGGCACCAAAGCCAAAGCCCGCGGCGGAAGAACCGGCAACGCATATACAGACATTTGTAGAGAAAGGAAAGGGCAAAACCTGAGACAGACTGTACTTCCAGAAAGCGACACCAGGTGCGCCTGCTCCCCTGAGACGGCGAGACCACCGCCCCCCCCCCCCGGCCTCCTCCCCCTTCTCAGCCTACTCCACGGGAGGACCACAAGGATGAGGACCTTTACAATGACCCACGTCCACCTAACGGACAGGGGAGAACCACCATGGCATACATACTCTTACCTGCTGTGCGTGCAAATCTAGAAAGTGTGCACGGGCAAGGTGAGTGAGATTTAACGTATCATCATATTATGTGATACTAACATGCGTATGCACACAAACAAACATATTATACAATGAACACATCATACCATGAACCAATCATGTGCCGGTTGTTTTAGAACTTTGCTTTCGAAGAATTACATTACCTCACCGAATGCCACTCTCCCCATTGGAGAAAACATGTATCAGCCTATTATCACAGTTTTTTTTAAAGAAGGTGGTGTTTCCAATACTACACGAGGACGTCTGTAAGGCGGCAGGCTGTGAACGCTTTATAACCATTCACTCGGTAGTGGACAGGCGAGGCTATGATGAAGCAGTTGTCCCAAGGACACCGGGCCTCGCCAAAGCAGTCCCACGCAGTAACGCACGATCTCGACCTAGACAGGAACCTTTCCCGTTACCTTCTCGTTTCCGATGTCTGACGGCGACACCGTCACACCCGCGTGTCCCAGGAGACAGCGCAGCTGCAGGCGCTGACACGCCGCCTTGTGGACGGACACACGCAGCCGTCCCTGCGGCTCAGCGCTGTCAGTGCGTTTTCCTTGTAATTTTCCTAAAATTTCTTCTCTAGAGCACTTTGCTTTAAGACGATGGTGTATATAATACAGCACAGAAGGTCCGTGTGACCCGGGTGCTCACGTCGCCAGTAAGGCCGCTGGTCAACAGGAGGATATCAGCTGTTCAGTCTGGGGGAGCCCAGAGTTAGACTCAGATGTTTGGGGGCAAATCAGCACCCCGAACCCCAAGATATTCAAGGGGCAACTGTACTCGTCCAGGGAGAATGAAAAGAACAGGCAGTACTGCTACAATCAACGACAGAAAAGAGTAAAATTGGAGTGTTTTCTCTTGAATGCAGTTACTTCAGGGGACAGACTGAAGGGGGTGGGGAGGCAGGTAATTTACAGACCCTGAGCATTTTCATGGATACAATACGCTAACGGTCATTATATCTAATCTGCCTTCTAAGTCAGACCTGCTTCTTCAAAAACCCACAGTTGTGGGTGATCAGCTTCCAGGATCACAGCATGAAAAGGCCTGTACACCTGCCTCTCCGGAAACCTGGGGAGAATCATACATAAGAGCAAATACTCAAAGCCTCCAAAACCATCCAATGGCACACAACAAAGGAAGGAACATCTACTCGAAAACACCTACAAAATTCAGTAAGAAAGGTGAGTCTGTAATATCTGAACCCAATCTGACCGCCCCTCCCCTGCAACTTCCTCCCATCTCAGGGAGGTGGACATTCCCCTCCAGGGGCTGTAGCCAAGAGCATGGGTCTGCCCCATCCCCCAGGAGCAAGAGCATGGGGTTCTCATGTCCCCCAGCCCCCAAGCCCTAGGGCTTTCCGGAGGTGGGAGCAGGACACCAGTGTCCTCGCCGTGCCCCAGATGCCCGTCAGGTATAGAGGCCACATGCGGGGCATGAGTGCTAGAAAGCAAGGCTCCCAGGTTCTGCTCAGCCTGCTCAGGAAACAGAGGCTGGCACCCTGGTGGAACAGGAAGGCTGAGAAGCCTGGGTCCTGGTCATCTTTGCCCCTGGTCTCGGAGACGGTGGTTGCAAGGCTGGAGAGGACCCCTGGCTGCCACCCGCCTTCCAAGTGCTCAGCTCCTGGACCAGGGGTGTCATTCCAAGCCTGCAGCTGTCCCTAGGCCTGTGCAGAGACTGGGAGGGGCGGGGGGCAGCACAAGAGATAACTCCTACTCTCCTCCCAAAGACAACGACTTCACAGGCCAGGTTTAAACCCAGGTGCTCCAGAGAGCAGGGGGGCTGTGCTGAACGTCAAGAGGGTGGAGAGCAACCGAGGCGGCAGGCTGCTGTGTGCGCAGGACGACGAGGTTGTGACGGCCGCGGGAGGAGCCCTCCCAGGATCAGGACACACACGGACACCGACTTTGTACCATTCCTAAGAAGGAGCCAGAACTGGATCAGTTTAGTTTGTAGAGACATGTATACCCCAGAGCATCACTGAAAACAACAGAGCAACTGGCTGGCAATGGGGGGGGGGGGTCCTCATAGCTGAGCGGGGCCACCCAGGGGGGCCTGGCTAGGGGCGAGGGGGCCTTCACTGAAATCATCCAGATGTCAATCAACTGGTTGCAACATTTCCTTTATTTTATATATATTTCACCACGATTCCCTGACACACACACACACACACACACACACACACACACACAGCTCTCTACAGACGAGGCTGCTCCCACTCCAGAACCCTGACAACTCTTTACTTCAGTGTGTCAAGGCAGAGCCACAAAGAAAGGACAGTAAAACTAAATGAGAATAATCCAAACGTGTCCTCAGACCTGCCCAGGTGGCGTGGACAGCCACGCCGTCCCAGAGAGCCAGCGGGCAGCGGGGGGAGGAGGCCCGCCGCGGCCGGGAAGCGGTGCCGAGGGGGCCCTGCTCTCCCACCGGCTCCCGCTCTTTCACGAGCTGCAGACACTCCTTTCCTATGTGCCAAAGTGAATTAGGCCAAATACTCTGATTTTCATCTCCTGCTGTAAATAACCAGCGACCTTCAATGCCTAACACCGAGAGATCTGCATCTAGTCACCGAGATCTCCTATCAGAAAATACCGCTCGTGTTTAGGTGAAAGAGAACCTGATCCAAACCAGTCTTGGTGAGATCTGCGATCGCTCACGTGGCGGGCAAGTCCAATGGGGGCAGCGGGGGGGTCGGGGGGGGCTCGCCGGGCCAGGGCCTGGTGCCGCGATCTGGGTCAGTTCACCGCTTTGCTCTCCGATTATGTGGGGTGCAAAGTTTATCGTGCTAGCCGATACCGTCCTCAGAAACTGAACTGTAGGACGCTTTCTCGTGCCCTCCTTCCCTTGCTTCCCTTCTGCTCCTGTTTTACCACTTCCTGTTTCTCTTCACGATGTTCATGTATCTGTTTAAGCATTTAAGCAGACTCATGCTGACCGCTGCTGGACTGCAGACGGAGTAAACGCATACTTGTGTAGGTGCGCACTCGGAGCGTCGGGCCTGGTTTCCAGCTCAGCCTGAGCAGCTTTTCTTGCTGGCGCGTCCCTCCCTGCCTGGTGTCTAGCGGCTGCCCCTCCGAGTGTCCCAAGGCCTGAGGCCAGAGCTAGGTTTCCACGGTGACTG